TTTAATAATTATAGCTATTATATATAATATATAGCAATCTCTTCTTATAGCTTACTTTAAGGCTAGTTTAATTATATTAATAAGATTATAATTAATTATATAATAGCCTTAATTAGGCTATTAGCTATTATAAATAAGTATTATAATAATAAATATAATTAATATTAATAAGTATATTTAATAAAATAATTATTAAGTTAAAGAATATATTTTGAAAATATAATAGATAAATTAGATATAATATATTATAAAGGTTAATTAAGAAGTAGTTCTTTAAGTAAGTTAAAAGAAAAAGGTTAATCTAGTTACTAAGAAGTAAACTTATAATTAGTATTTATATTACTTAATTAAGGTAATAATTATATTATTAAAGTAAATTAACTTTATTTAATATTAACTTGTATTTTAATAGCTTATTATTAAGGTCTTTTTTATTTATATTATTAATAAATAGGCTAAAAAAATTAAATAGCATTTTATAAGACTAAAAATAAAAAATTAAAAAAAATTAAAAAAAACTTTAATTTATATTATTTAATTATTTATTTTATTTTTAAATATTAAAAAATTATAATATTTTTAGCTTTTATTTCTTTTTTTATTTTCTTAAATTAATTATTTTAATTATCTTTTTCTCTATTATAATATTAATTTATTTATAAGTTATTTAATTTAGACTCTAAGAATATTAAGTTATATTATTTATATAACCTAATTAATAAGATATTTTAAAATCTATAATAATTCTTTTATATTAATTTAAGAAGTATTATTAACTATTTATAAGGCTAATATAATTAGCTTATTTAGTTTTTTACTTTTAATTATATATTAATTCTTTATTATTATATTTAAGTAGCTTATAATAAATACTTTAAAATTATTATAATAATAAAAAAGCTAAGTAAATATAATAATATTATATTAAGTAATACTTAAAGAAAAAAAGAATTTAATTATAAGGTTTTTATAAGGAATTATAAGGATATTATAAAAATTACTTAACTTACTTAAAAATAAGGTTAATTCTATATACTAACTAAACTACTATTAAAATTAAGTTAAATTTACCTTTTAATAAAAAGTTCTTTATAATAATAATAACTATTATATATATTATATAAAGTTCTTCTTTATTAATTACCTTTAAGGTAAGCTTAATAGCTAAATTAAAATTATTACTAATTATATAATAAATATAATTATATAATTATAAGCTATTTTATATAAGTAATAAAGTAATATAGCTATTATATTTTTAATAAATAGGTTAAAAGGGAAAGTTAAGTTAGATAATATATTTTAAAAGTATAATAAATAAATTAAATATATTATTCTTTTTAATAAATTAAAGGAAGAAGGTTAATCTAGCTATTAAGATTTAGTATTTATATTACTTAGTTAAGGTAGTAGTTATATTATTAGTAAGGCAAATAAACCTTATTTAATTCTAACTTTTATAATAATAGCTTATTATAAAGGTCTTATTATTTGAATTATTAATAAAAAAGCTAAAACGCTTAATAGCCTTATATAAGCCTAAAAATAAAAAAGAGAAAAAATAAAAAATATAATATATTATATAGGGTTTTTATTTAAGTTATTAGTATAAATATTAAAAGCTAAATAGCCTTTTAGAAAATTAAAAATAAGAAAAATATAATTTAATTATAAATTTATTTAAAAATTTATTATATTATTATTTTATAAAAATTTATTTAAAACTTTATTATATTATTATTTTATAAAAATTTAAAAAAATTATATCTTTAAATAATATAAAAAACTTTATTTTTTAAATTATTAAATTACTTTAAATAAAGATTAAATAAAAAGAAGATAATTAAAAAGAAGTATAATAAGAGGTAAAAAAAAAAGTCTATCTCTTAAGGCAGTATAAGACTACAGTAGGGTTATAACAGGGGTATAAGACCTATTAAAATAAGCATTACTTAAGGTATATTTATATATACCTAAATATAGGTATAATAAAAGTACTAATAGTTAGCCAAGTAATAAATAACTACCTTATATATTTTATAGCTATATTAGGTTTATATCTTTTATTTATTTTCTAATATTAGCTATAATATAATAGTTAGGGTTTAAAATAAGAAAAGTAATTTATATTAGGTTTTCTATTTATAGAGTTATAAGGCATTATATTAAGTAATAATAAAGTATTATATCTTTTAATAATTAATAATATAGTTTAGGCTTATTACGGTAAAGAAGTCTTATTATTAATTAATAAACTAAGTTTTATAAAAGTACTAATAAATATAATTTATATATTAATAAATATTAATAATAATTAGTAAGGTTATTATAGGATTAATAGTAATTATAATAAATTAATACTAATTATAATAGATTAATACTAGTTATAATAAATTATTTATAATTATAAGGTCTTAAAGCTAATTTATTTTATAGGGGTTATAATAATTAGAGGAAAATGTAGGGTATATGTAATAGAACTGCTAGGGTTGTAATATATAAATAGCTTTTTTTTTTTTTTTTTTCTTTTTTTAAAGGGTTAAGGCTGCCCTTACTTATAGCCTTTATAAGCTAGGCAGTTAGAAGGTATACCTTTATAAACATAATTAATATCTCTTTATAGGTAAATTTACTATATTTTTATATCTTTAATATCTTCCTCCTTCCTTATATAGCCTCTTTTTTTTTATAACCTTAAATTATATACTTATTAAAAATAATATTATAAATATATTCTTTTTAAGCTTTAAGTATATTATAAGGCTTTTAATAAGGCTATTAAGTTTTCTTTTATAAAATAAAGCTATTTATAAATATAACTTTAAGGAAAAAAGATTAAAGTAATACTTATTAATAACTATAATAAAATTAATATTAATATATTATATAAGACCTTATTTAATTATTATAATTAATATAATTTATTTATTATTATATTAAGTAATAATAGTAAGAATAGGGATTATTTTAAAGCTATTACTATTAAAGACTTACTATAGGTATTATATTTCTACCTTTATGCCTCTTTTAATAGGCTTTTTTTTTCTTTTTTAATATATACTTATAAAAGGCTTTATTAAGTATAATTAAAAGGAAATGTACAATAGTATTATCTTTTTAAGTAATTTAAATAACTTAAGGAAAAAGAAAAGAGATAAATTAATAAAGGAAATATAAATAAAATTATTTATATCTATTTATCTTATATTAGGATTAAATATATCTTATTATATTATAAAGCTATATTATTAAGAGCTTTTTTAATTTCTTTTATATACTTTATTATAATAATAATATTATAATTAAGGCATATTATACTTATAGTATTATAATTAAGCTATTAAAGAAGGTAAAAGAGCTATAATAATAAAAAGAGGTTATTTATAAAGATATAATATATTTATATTAATAGCCTTTTTAATAGGTAAATTAAAATATTTTATATATTATTAAGAGAAATCTTAATTTATAGCTTTCTTTTTTTACTAAATAGTATTAATATAAGTAGCTTAATTATAATAGCCTTATATAGTAATACCTTTAAATATTAAAGCTATTATAAAAAGAAGCCTTATTAGGTAATAACTTAGACTTTAAACCTTATAAATATAGGTTTATTTTTAATAACTATTATCTCTTTTAATCTACTTATAAAAGGGATTATATATTTATTTATAATAAGGTTAGTTTTTAGAAAATAAAGCTTATAAATACCTTTTATATATAATTAAATTATTTTTTAATTATTTAAAGGGTCTTTAAAAGGTTATTTTTATTTTTTATATTAAGCTTAATATAATAAAAAGTATAAAAATACTTTATAATTAACTTAAACTTTATAATAATATAAACTTAATAATTAAATAAAAAAAGTTTTAATTTCTTAAGTTAAAAGACTTTTAATAATCTTTAATTAATATTTCTTTATAAATTCTTAAGTAAATAAAGACCTTAAGTTATATATAAGCTATTATAATAAAGATATCTTCTTACTTAAAAATATAAGATTATTTAAAAATAAAGGTATTTTAATTATTTATAATAGTATTTTTAAGTAAGTAAATAACCTTGCTATTAATATATTTAATTTACAATTATATAAAAAAAATAGGTATAAAAAGTTAAAATAGTTTAAGTAATTTTTTAAATAAAAGGTTAATTTTAAAATTATAATATTTTAAGTTAAAAAAGTTAAAAATTATTATTATAGCCTTCTTTAAGTAAAAAATTAAATATATTAATAAGATTATTAATTACTCTTAAAGGTAAGGTATTAAAGTTATAATTATTTATATAATTAAGTATTTTTTAAAAGCTTATTATTTTAATTAAGATTTATTAAAGTTAATTTATATAAGGATTTTAATAATTTTAGCTATATTAAATAAAAAAGCTATTTAATAAGAACTTTATATACCTTATAAGTACTAGCAGGGTTAGTAAGCAAAGTAGGGCGAGTGACCTACTGTAGTCTTATGCCGCCTTAAGAGATAGGGCCAAGCTAGGTAGAGGTATTTGCCTCCCCCAGGATAGCCGCAGCCTGTTGGCATAAGGGCCTTGTATATATATATACTACTTACTAACTTATACCCTTAGCTTACCAAAGTAGCAAGCTACTCGGGTTTAAATGCGAATTCCCATCAACATCCTTTAGACGGCGAACGGGATCAATGTTCCAGATGTCCACCTGCAGACTATACACCTTCTCCTTCAAAGTCATTACCATCGTAGTGAGAGACAATACCACACGCTCGTCGCATGCGTCGAATGGCTCAAACATGACCAAGCCTCGTACCTGCATCGTAGCAATGCGAAGGTCAAAAAGAAGCCCATCAATTACATCCTGGGTTGGGTAGAGCGGACCACCAGACTGTGATTCAGTCTTGCTGAGGCCGGGATAGCGGTTCTGGAGGTAGTTCAGAGCCTGCTGAACCTTTCCGATGCTTTCCAATGTCACGAAAACTTCGTCTCCTATCCGGTATCCCATTATTGCGATTGTAGTTGAGGTGGGTGTTACTGTAAGATAGGTGTTGTTCTTGCGGTTGTTGTTCTGTTTAAGTGAGTTAGTAGTGATGTTGTGTGTTGGTGGTACTGAAGCAAAGGAAAGATTCAGGCTAGATTTATACTCCTATCTCTTCTGTCAGATGCCCGTTTCAATTATGATGGTTCACTTTACAGATCATATTGTGCGCTTCTCGTATTGATCATGTTTTACTGTTCAGATTAGGTTCCAGATTCCTGCAATGCTCTTGTAACTACCTCCTCAACATATTCTACCTTCTCGAAAATGTTCATCATTACTAGATAACAAAGACACAAGCTATCTAATCGCGTAAATACCTGTGAAAGAGTAATATATTCGCTGTGCTTGGAGAATCTCGTCCTGGCCATCTTTTTGTTCCTTCTACCCAACGTAGTTTGGCGAACAACAAAGGAGTCAATCCTCTCATTGTCATGAACAAATATATGTCCAGCAGTCTTGATTTAGAAACAAAAGATACTATGAAGTTTGTTCTGACTCTCCTCTTTTTGACCTTTCGAGGTATCCTTGCTCGGACGAATATTCCTCAACGATCTGACCCTCAACTTATTCGCCTTACCTTCCATGGCGGTCTGGCTTCTTACTCTATGGCTTTCCCTGCTGATGGCAATACTCGCAAGACTGGTAGGCATCTCTGTTAGCATATCCCCTTCAGCTGCTCACCCGATGTGCTCTTCCTCAGGTCACGATCTCAGCGTCGATGTCATCGATAACTCAGACTACAATGCTCCCGAACAATGTTTCTTTGCCATTGAGGGCCAAGCGAAGTTGACTCCCAAAGTCAGCACTAAAGATGGCTCCCAGCATATCCTCGTCAACCCTCCTCGAGTGATTTCCGCTGTCAACTGCACCGGCAGTTGTGTTCCTACGTACGGTAAGTACACCAGATCTAACTCGTGTAATCCGGCCTGTCTGACGACGGTCCATGGTAGGCGAGTGCTATGATACACGCGGGCAGCCTGTAGGACCTTGCTGCAACGGCATGTGCATGGCTAATCGTTGTCGACCGTGGAACTCGACTTTGTCCTAGAGTATTAGCCTACGAAGGGTTTATGAAGAGTTCTTTGGAGAAGACGGTTATCATCCGATGAGTAAACGAGTATCTTTTTGGTCATTCTTCTGTGAAGGCTGTTGTTGAGTGGATGTTTCGGTTATGGACTGTCCTTAAGGTATGTTAAGTTTAAATTGACCAGATTGAGAATGCTTGTATAACATAGCTGTGTTGTCAGTGACCTCGTCGTATCACGCGATGCATCAAACTCAAAATTGTGAACACATGGTGTCGCAAACACAATTGAAGCATAAAGTAAATCTCAATTCTTGAAATTCAGAAAGGTATCTCATAACTATCATACAGTTGTCATAATCATTCTATCATCAACTCCATAGAAATGCGCCAATCCAGTGGCTGTCGATGAGTGTTCTGGATTGTGCAACCCCCGCAATGCTTGAGCATTATTTTTAAGTAATTTGCAAACTTTGGAAATATGAGTATTCAATACAGTGAAGAGGAAAGAAAGGCAGTGTCGTCAGCCGTGATCATCTTCGGCTATGGCCATGGCGCTCAGGAAGCTTTGTGGTTTGAGCTGAGGCAAGGTCAACACCCTGCCTCATCAGTTTCTGTCTGGTACTGTTAGGATGCTTCTGGCCCATGAAGCCGTCCACCAAGGCCGCGCCAAGAGCAGCTGTTGCAACTTTGGCGCCCTTGGGACCGAGCCAGGGACCAGATTCATGACCAGACTTCATCGCAGCTTGAGCACCAGCTGTGAAAGCAGTACGGGCGCCAGCTTGGACCATAGGGTTCTGCCACCACGCAGCGCGTGGCTTGGTACTAGCAGGCATTGAGCTGCGACGTCCAGTAGGGGCGCCGCGATTCTTCTGTGAAGTCGGAGGCCGACCGCGATTTGGGGATCGAGCAGGATCTCGTCCACGACGGTCTCTTGTCTGAGACCGCGGGCGTCGTCGACTGGCAGCAGCAGCGGCACCCGCTCCAGCTCCGGCAGCCCCAAATTTGGCGCCGTAATGATCATTTTCCGAGTCAGAGTCGGAGTCTGGATATCGTGACTTGCGACTACGTCCTTGCGACTTAGAACGAGGTGACGGTGGCACTGATCTCCCATTGTGCCGAGGCGATTCCGGCTCAGTATCCCGGTGCTTGGATCGTCGCTGGTCTCGAGGATCATGGGGGTATGTACGTGAAGGTTCTCGGGTATATGCCTCGTGATCGTAGGGATGTACTGGTGGAGCATCACGCTCGAATCGAGGGTCTCTGTCAGGGCGTGCGCCTCGCTTTCCACGGATGGGTAACTCCCGGTCCCGGTCCCAGTCCCGATCCCGCCCTGAGCGAGGCTCGCGTGAAGATTGGCGAAATTCTCGCTCGGGGTAGTGAGAATCGCGATCGGGACGAGCTGACCGAGCCTTTCGGCGAGGTGAATCTGGCGGAGGTCCGAAGGGTGGAGGACTGATGTCTCGGCTTCGTCGATCAGGCCCTGCACTTCGCCCACGGCGCTCCGGCTCATATCTGCGACGGGGACGGCCTTCGGCTCTTCGATCATCCATCATAGGATCGTCAGGGTACACTGGCCTGCCAGGACTCGGAGGGCGGCGACTTCTTTGTGACTTGTAGCGGCGGGGTGGTGACGCATCTGTCGCCGGCTCTCTTCTGACTTTGCGGGGAGGAGGCGCATTTCGGTCGTCGTAAGGGTCATACGACCTCCTGGGATCTGGCGCTACGTAGTCATCGTCATATCCGTATGGGCGCGCTTGTTGTTTGGACGGGCGGTAATAGGCCATATGTGTAGCAGTGGTACGGGTTGCTGAGATCTGTGAGAGCGGAAGATGGAGGCTCTATCGGATGGTTTGTGTGTCTGAGATGTGAAAGGGTTGGTAGACTGATGTTGTTGTAAGAGAACAAAGGTTTTATGTAACGTAGTCAGGAACTTGCCGAGTTGCCTAGATGTGCATACCGATAGTGGAGGGGCAGAATGTTGGGGATAAATCCTTCTTTATGTAAAGAGGTGCCTGCATAAAACACCTAATGAAACAGGTGATGAGCGGTAAGAGAAGAGAGAGAAGGAGAAATCCGTATCCAGGGGTCATCAAATAAAGTAGGTCACAACTTAGGTCATGGCGCGGCTTGAATCTGAACCGGAAGTGAGACTGTCAGTGAGTGAGTGAGTGACCTTGGCGCGAGGATCAAAGGGCTGAGTCCCTAAGGGGAGGGGGGCGCTAACCAGATCTTCTCTTCCGTCATTGAAGAGGATGCATAAATTTTCGCACATGTAATTAACACATAGCGTTGCAATTCGCTGATGGGATGCATAAAACCAAGGCCAGAAATATGGCGTCGAGGTGCATTACCCGGAGAAGAATACCAGCCATCCAGCCATCAGCTTGACAAGCTTTCGTGGGGAACTCGGCGTGGGTTCCATTAAAGACCCTGCATGTTCGACGTCATGAGATCCAACTGCTCAGCTGATTGACGTCACTACTCCAAGGGTCTCTCGTTAACCCACGGAAAATGGCGGACAAATGATTGGAACGATAGCGAGTGATTTCTGGTCGATTCTCATCAATCGACACATCTAATAGGCACAGAGCATCGTTTAAACACCTCTTCTGAGAGGGCATCGTTAATGTCTCATGAGGCCATCGGGGCGCTGCCTCTCATGACCTCAGCTTCGTACGGAGGATGGCCGGCCCCTCACCGACAATCAACCCGCCTTGCGCGACCCTTGGGCGAATGTTAGGTTGAAACGTGTGCTTCAGCCTTCAAACAGGAGTCATTGTAATTGTTGGCCACCGCCTTTCATGCCATCATGACGATGCTGAGCTTCTCTTCGGCCTCCGAGTCCGTGATACATCTATTGAACCAGAGAGTAGCATAGATGCTGCTACATCATGAAGCACAATGGTGGCCATAGGAGATTGTGTATCATATGACGCTTCCAAACGATTATGACAGTCACAGACACATTTTTGGTCGTAGTGATATTGAGAAACATTGAGAGATCTCATCACAGGCAAGCAGACACACTTCAAGATTAGAGCATTCTGCTTAGGTTCCAGACCAGATAGCTCCCGCTTGTCAAGATCAAAATGATCGCTCTTTGATGGACTAGGGTTGCACGCGTCGTATCGGAAGTTTATCACGGGATCTCATCGGCAATACCAATCCAGCTGATCCCATTTAGTTAAACTTACAACTAGACGCAGGAGGACCAGGGTTCATCCACGCCATACGGTAATATGCTGGGGTCTGACGCTGGGAAAAAGCAAGCTGACTGCGTGTATAATTGTGTTACCTGGTTCTCGTCGGTGTCGTATCGTTAGGCGCCTTGTCCAACTCAGTGGCAGCCAGCCATCAACCCTTGAAGACGACGGCCTCGGGACTTACAATTTCCGCTCATGAATGATGGCGGTGAGAGTCGTCGGTTAAAACCGCCGTCATACCCAAACGTGAGATCAACAGAGCGATGTTTTCAGCAAACCTGTATGTAGCTCAGGAGATCGATAGTAGTCATCTGGGGCAGAACAAGGTTGACCAGATCGGGATAAGGACGAGAAGAATGGAAAGCGGGGAACGGAAACCTGCAGAACAAGAATCCATCCTGACCTGGGGAAATGGCGGGAAGAGGTTGAATTGAAGTGCCGGGGACCGGCAGTCGCTGAAACTGAGCCATGAGGTTCAGTGCTTTGAGGCCAGAGTTCATGTCGTGCAACTCAGAACGCTCAAAGAACTCCATGTTGAGCCAAAGATGCACGTTTTGTGCTGGGTCTTTTATTAGGCCTGAGTAACTCTAAAGCGACGGCCTTAGTTGGGTCAATATCGCTTTGTTGACTGTCTCATGAACACGTAGCATCGCTCATTTTTCAGCTCGACTGCTGTTGCACGAAGCAAGGGCGAAACTGGACAAAGTAACGTTATGAGAATAGAGGCACGAGAACACCAGAATAGTCCGAGGTGCAGTGGCCGAGACACCCTGGACGACATCAATAGTTATTTTGATTCAGCTGTGCTGGTTTGGGGAGCCTAGGGCTTTACAGCGGTCTATTGACGCATTGCATGGTGATTGACACCATCACGATGAGAGTCACGATCGCGATGATACAGTGGTTCAATTGAGTTTCGGTGAACGGCGCCAATACAGATCGCAGACTTCCGGTCCACCTCTACCGGAACAACTCTCGGCCCTTGAGAGCTCAATCAAAGATCATCAATCTCCAAGCGTTTCGTTCACTAAAAGCTGTTAGCAGGCGAAACTCGGATAGGTGATAGAGCTCGGAGGACGGCGCTTTTCTGGGGCTCTTGGTCCGTTATCTCTTGCGCTTATCACACTTGACATGCCTCCAGGGTCTTTATCGACGAGTGAGCACAGGCCAGTATTTAATCAATGGGCTACTCATTCCGCACGGTGTATCAAAGTTTCAGCACCAGCGCAGCACGCGACAGTACATCCGAGCTAGGAAGGTCATCAGCCACAAACTGAATCAACCGCCCGTTCCGTTAAAAACGGTGAGAAGCATCTCCAACGTGCTAACAGCTACCGCCAAAACTCCAACATCTTCAGGCAAAACAGTCGCAATGATTCAAGAAGAAACACCAAAACGCCAATATTATAATTTTAAGGCGCAATCGATAAGCACAGCATTGCGCCGGCTTCTAGAAGAAAGGTACTTACCCGCTCTGTTCTAAAGATATTCAGCTCTATCTATCCACATTGACCTCAAACCATTGAAATTGCCATGCTAGCTATCTCAGCTCGTCCGCGTTGTCATGTGTAACAGACCAACAAAGCAGATAAGCACAAGATCGATGCTACCTCCTTACACCATTCAAATTGGACCCTCCAGCATTTTGATTGTGATTGCAACTGTGCATTGTGTCTTTTGTAAGCTGTGCTCAACTTTCGAGTCATTTCTGTCCTCGTCGCACGAAACAAATCCCCGCGCGAACTACAATTGTTGGAGCCGCTTGATCATCATCATTACATTAAAACAGCGGATGCATGCAGTTGAATACGTTTGAGCTACAACATGGCACCACATGGTCCAAGCCACAACGCGGCCAGGATTCGCTCGCACAGTTCGCTCCACCTATTTTCAGAGCTCGCCAGTGACTTACAGTGACTCCATATCGTTAGAACGGAGGAGAACAAAGAGCTAAGAGCAAATCCGAGTCCTCTGAATGGGCGGCTCGTCTCTGGGTGGCGTTGTACCCGCGCCGCCGCTATCGCTATCGACTCCACCTTACCCGCGCAATGGCTTGCATCCTCTTTGCGGTTCCTGGGCAGTTGTTCTGGCGATGCTCGTTGGCTGCTGGGCCAAGAGGCGACGACGTTTTGGGTAAGGGTTTAATCGGACGGAAATTCATCAATGGCAACAAAAAAAATCTGAAAGGTCGAAAAAACCGGGGTCAATGGCTAAAAAATCGACTGAGATGAATGTAGTGCCTCGGCCGATTCGTTCTTGCCATTCAATTTTTTGCGGAGCATCTTGAGGAAGGAGCTGCCCATTCACTGGGCTACCGGTACTATCACGAATTTGCCATCTGCAAATTTGCTCTCTTTCTCTTTTTCCTCGCGCATCATCGCGAATCACTTCTTGCCTTGGCTGCAACGCTTTGCTCACCTCTCAAGGGTTAGTTGAGCTGTATGTATCACTGACATCTCTTTGTCGTCCTCTTCCTCGCCGTCGTCTCTCAAGGGTCTCTCGCGCAAACTCTAGTACTTTCACCGGCTGCAAGTCAAGTTCAACGCTTGCTCCAAACGCATGAAAGAAACAGAGAAACTGCTCCGAGCTTTATTTGATCAACCCTGCTAGGGCTTATATCTTTGCTCTGGCTCGAGTCTTTCTTTGGACCTTCCCATCGGACCCTTGATATCGGGACGTTATTCTCTTCCCCGATACGGTACATTCGTCCGTCGTCGCATTACACCCTCTATCACTCGACAGATTACGATCGGGACTCTTTACGTTTCCGTCACATCTTGGCCTACCTTTTTCGTCCGTCAATTGCATCTACAAGTACATACACTGCGTGCGCATTGCATTACATTGCTAGCTTGCCTTGCACCACGTACTAGGTATACCAACCGACGCCTCTTTTGTACGTCCATCGGTAAGTCTCTAGCCCAGTGCCTTGCCTGGATCTTTTGTCGCCCTTGCGCATCAATGTACAACCTCTTGGATGTATAATTTTGGACCTCGCGCCAATACATCCATGTTCACATGCACCCCGTCCGTAAACCCCAGTTCCCAAGTTCCCCAGTCTCTTATCTCCCCCAGTTAAGATATCTGGGCTTCGACCCCCATTGCCTATCCCACCACATACATAACCTCCGTTGTCCCTCCATTAGCCTCCTCGGCCGCCTCCGTCCCTCTTTATCGGAGACATACCGTTGGCTATCTATCTGTCTGGACTTGGCCAATACCGGAGCTAACTGTAAAAGAGTCTAGGACATTTGTCGAACGCCTAGGATCGCCATTAGTTAAAGACAGCTGCCTCCCATCAGTCAATTCAGCTTTCAATTTCGAGCTTCGCTGCACGCCGATCTCACTTGTCCCGTGGCTTTTGGGTTTTGCTCAATTTTGAATACCTTTTTGTCACATACTCATTGTCAACTCAATCTTCAAGATGGGTTGGATGGACAAGACCAACCGCAAGATTGCGGCCAGCGCTGTTGGACGTTGGTTCCAGCTCGAGGGTTCCGGTCATGTAAGTCAAATCGGCCACCTCCGATATCAACTTCACAGCTAATGCTCTCTCCAATTAGCCTCGTGAGCGCAAGGGCTCTCTCTTCTTCACTGAGATTCGAGCTGGTCTCGCCACCTTCTTCGCAATGGCCTACATTATTGCTGTCAACTCTTCAATTGTTTCTGAATCTGGTGGTCCATGTGTCTGCCCTACTTACAAGGATGGTGCTTGCGTCCCAGATGAAGCCTACCAGCTGTGTGTTGCCGAGGTCAAGCGTGATGCTGTCACTGCTACTGCTGCCATTTCTGCTCTGGCTACTTTCTTCATGGGTCTGCTTGCCAACCTTCCCGTCGGTCTCGCTCCTGGTATGGGTCTCAACGCCTACTTCACTTACACCGTTGTTGGTCCCAGCGGCTCTGGTCCTGTACCCTATGAGCTTGCCCTTACAGCCATTTTCATTGAAGGCTTCATCTTCTTCGGTCTTGCTCTCTTCGGTATGCGTCAATGGCTTGCTCGTGCCATCCCCCGCTGTATCAAGCTCGCCACCAGTGTCGGTATCGGTCTCTTCTTGACGCTCATCGGTCTCACTTATAGCGAGGGTATTGGTCTGATTGTTGGTGCTGTTTCCACCCCTATGGAGCTGGCAGGTTGCGAGTCGCAATATCGGGATCCTGATACCGGACTGTGCCCTTCCTCTCAGAAGATGAGAAGCCCTACTCTGTGGATTGGTATCTTCTGTGGTGGCATCTTCACCGTGTTGCTCATGATGTACCGCGTCAAGGGTGCTGTCATTGCTGGCATCCTGCTTGTCAGCATCATCTCCTGGCCGCGAGACACACCTGTGTCATATTTCCCCTACGACACCATTGGTGACGATCGATTCAACTTCTTCAAGAAGGTTGTCGATTTCCATGAGATCAAGCACACCCTCAATGTCCTCCAGTTCAACATTTCCGGCCACAGCGGCCAGTTCGGTCTTGCGCTTATCACTTTCTTGTATGTCGATATCCTGGACTGCACTGGTACTCTGTATGGTATGGCTCGTTTTGCCAACCTCGTCGATCCTGTTACCCAAGACTTTGAAGGCTCTTCGATTGCCTACATGGTCGACGCTCTCAGTATTTCCATTGGCGCTGTTTTCGGTGTTCCTCCCGTCACTGCTTTTGTCGAATCCGGTGCTGGTATCTCGGAGGGTGGAAAGACTGGTCTGACCGCCATGGTTGCCGGAATCTGCTTCTTCATTTCCATCTTCTTTGCGCCCATTTTTGCTTCCATCCCTCCTTGGGCCACCGGCTGCGTTTTGATTCTTGTCGGTTCTATGATGATTGGCGCTGTTACCGAGATCAACTGGCGTTACATGGGTGACGCCGTTCCTGCTTTCCTCACCATCGCCATCATGCCTTTTGCGTACTCCATTGCTGATGGTCTGATTGCTGGTATCTGCACATATATGTTGATCAACACCATCGTCTTGGTCATCAAGGTTGTTTCCGGTGGTCGCATTGTGCCTCCCAACTATGATGAGAGAGACGGCTGGACTTGGCGCATTCCTGGTGGTTTCTTGCCCCCTTGGTTGAACCGACTGGCCCACGGAAAGAAGGACTTCTGGCGTGAGGAGTTCCCTCCTGCTGCCAATGACACAACTGTGAACCAAAATGCCGTGCCCGAGGAGACTGGTTCTGATCATGGTGGATCTGAGGGTGGCAAGATGCCCGAGACTACTCTTCCCCGTGAGAAGGAGACTTGAAAGGTTATGGAAGAGTTAATGGCTACTTAAAAATGTTAGTGTGTTGAGTGAACGTAGGAAGATCTGAAAGATACCCAAGAAAACAATAGCATGATGTTCTGTTTGATATACTTGATTTGTCCCTGCGAGTGACGTTTCGTGAAGATGTGTCGCCCCGATTTTCAACTGTACAGCCAAATCGAGGCCCGTCAGTCCCTAGCTCGGTTTCTTGGAGTTTTTGAGATTCGACTTACCGAAGGCATACATATCTAGGAAGTGCCAGGTGACACTGATGTAAGTGACATGTCATGGTGTACGTGCACAGTCCGTTGCATTGTGTTCAGGGAGCTGAATACAGAGCCGACAATATACAAGCAGATAAGCACGTATGATGAAACGAGTAGCACCAAGGCCTTCGTGTTTTCATATCTGAGCAACTGTCAAACAAGGCGTATCTACAGCTGGGTTTCATGCGAGTTCAACACGAGCCTCATCCCACAGCCTGCATCCTGTCCTCATAACAAGTCGTCTCTGAGATCTTCAAGTCATAAATCATCGCTCTTCGCTGAATAGTTTCGCTCGTCAAGCCATCAAAGCAATGTGCTTCAGTTCCCTGAGTCATAGTTAGCTTCGATCGTCAGTGGCTAGGGAGATCAACGTACTCCTGCACTTGGTGTCCAACTTTCATGGGAGGATACTCAACCTCACGTCCCTCGTCTCTTCCAAGCTCCTTCTGTCGCTCTCTAACTTCCTTTGCCCTTGCTACGAGCTTGGGAACGGGATTGAGATCGACGTCACTGCCAAGATGCCAGAACAGAGTACTTGAGATTCTGACCAAAGGTCTGTCAGGGAAGTCACGCTTCCTCTTCTCGATGGTCTCAATGGTCTTCTCGTTCACAATAACCTCGTGGAAGCCAGCTTTGATGAGCCCACCAGTGATGTGCTCAATCTGCTTGCCCGCTTGGACGAGTAAGTAGTTTCCAGGTGGGATCTTTACAGCAATACGGTTTCCAGTATTGCGTGCCCAGATGTGAAGACCAGGGTAGCGGGAGCGACCATGGATGGTGAGGAAGTTGAGATCTGTGTGGAATCCAGCCAAGATGGTGTTCTTTTCGCCGTACTTGACCAGGTCTGAGGCTGTTGGGGCAAGGAGGTGAGGTCTGTTCACGTATGTGAGTTTGTGCGACTGCCATGTATTGTAAGGCCAACTTACCCATATTTTCCAGCGTCGCTGAAGAACTGAGCTGGTAGGTCTAGACCAACGGCGGTCATCTCTGCCAACTTGGATACACTATTTCATTAATCAGCACTCGAGCGCTTGAGAGAAGGAAGCTGAGATACTTACGCGCTCTTCATAGACGTCCCCCACTGGTTCATGGCTGGCTCCCATCGGTCCCTGATATGAGGGGCTTCAGGCACCACGTTCGGGGCGTTCAATCCAGGAAACTCAGTCTCAAAAGGTGGCTGCTCGCTCATTCTCCAGAAGAATCTGCACTTGGGATCAGGTGAGTGAGCTGAGATATCCAACGGTCTCTGTGAAGGATCAAGTCTCTGAATGACATCAAGACATGGCTCATCAACAGCACACTTGGGTTTTTCCGTGTTCTCTAATGTGACGCCGATCTGATAGCTCAGCTCAGGCTTCTCGTCTTTTCTGAGGACCTCTTCGGGTTGAGCAAAGTAATCTTCAAGAATGTCGAGGAAGGTCGAGTTATCTTCCTCTGAGACACGACTGTCGTGAAGAACAAGAGCACCGTATGTGATGAGGGCGTTGGCTGCTTTTCTGCATTCTTCTTGAACAGCCTCTGAGTCGATGGGGTTGTTTAGATAGACATCGAGGTCAATCACGGGGAGATCCATGGATTGTTCTGTTGAAGCCATTTTGTGAAGTTGTTCGTATGGAGATAAGCAGATGTCGACACCACAATCAGTGTTTACTCTCTCCAGATTTTACAGCAGATTATATATGAGAAAAAGGAGAAAATGAGGATTCAGTGAAACAACAAAATTTCTTTTCTTGGTGTTCCACTTTGGGAAGCTGTTACGGATTGAATCTGTGTTCTTGGGAGAAACGTCGATTACACGAGCTTTGATTGGTCGGGAGCTTGTGGTCCTGAGACGGAGTTGGCCGGTCCCCGACGACAACTGATCACGAGGGACGGACTTGGGCGGAATTGAACGGACTTTCCATGAGATGTTACATCCATAGGCCAAATATATATCTTCTGTATGTGAATAGCTAGTATGAGAATAGGCTCTTGCCACATTTGTAATCTTGGCCCGTTTCTAGGGGGCAAATGGAAAAGCGAGCCAGTCAAGTTAACCTACCTATCTCATACTTGAACAGGCGTTGAACGGACATAGAATAACTCAAGTAGTAGCATTCATCCATCTGATATTCAGACATTTGAGACTACTGTGAAGAGGATGAGACTCAGGTAGTGAGTGACAGCCCATAGCATGAGGCATAGTTTTATAGTTGTCCAATGATCTCTACTTCCCCTTGCCATGTCACGACTGTTCACTGGCATAGATAAACAAGGCCTATCAAGTCCATCGCAGCTCGTTCTTTGTAAATCAACTTAGGCTCTCTCAAGCCCAGATTGTCGAAAAAGCCATTTTGAAGAAACCAGTATGGCACAAAGAAATGGTTCAAGGAATCTATTTCCATCTCACAAATAAACTCGCCAGGCCGTCGAGGCAATGCCCACCTCCGCTGGTAATATACACCTCTTTTCCCATCCAAACCTCCTCTCGCTCTCCGTAATCTTAAATCTCTTTCCCCTCTTACGAGCGCTCAGCCTCAAGTTCCCGCTCAGCCTGCTGGTAGTACTTGGCTGTGTCGACACCATGCTGGTTATGGTTGACAAAGTTGAACCAAGGAATCGTGCTAAGGAACAAAGCAGAGTATCTGCTCTGTCGAGCGGCGACTCCCTGAAGATGAGGGCTTAGCCGGCTAACGCCATATAGAGGCTCGCCCTTCTTAACCTTATCGACCATCTCGCGCATATCCATCTCAATCTCGCGGGCGTTCTCGGTGGCACCGTAGAATCGGACTGTTCAGATTAGTTCACCTTCTTCGATGTATCATCCGGTTGTAGACGTACGGGCTGATCGCTGGTAGAAGTAGAGGAAACCACCCAAGAGACCGACGCCACCAGCCAGTCGCATGGCCTTGGGGAAACCACCCTTTCCAACATGTGAGGGAGCGAACTTCTCGAGGGCGTAGAGAGCAGCGGGAGCGAAAGCAGCGGCGACGGTGCCGGCGATGTAATCGGATGTACGGGCATAACCCACGACTCGCTTGAAGTGACTGCCGAGGATCAGCAAAGCTCAACCCAACCCAAATCCAAGCAATTCGATTCTCCAAATCATTCCGTTCTATTCGTATCGTCGTCGCAGGTATCGGAGGGGCTCAGGTTACATACGGATCGTTATCAATGAGCTATAACATCACCAGTTAGCAATTGCAATTGCTCCATCAATTGAAGCGTCACTTACGGGATACTCGGTCTGGACGACCTTGCTTGTCCCGACAAAGGACGGGGTCGTCTGCTTTGTCACTGTCTCAGCCATTGTGTGATGCGTCGTCCGTGACAGTCAATTCCTTGAATACTATCACCAAAGCCTTTCGAGGTCGTCGGTTTCGGTACCTTCAGAAGCTGGAGCCGGAGTGGATGCCTGAGGATTGAAGTCACGTGTATGGTCAGCCCATCGAAGCTGGCGATGATTGGTCACGTGGAGAATGGTGGGGTTGAGAATCAATTAAGCTCTCGACGCGTCTCCCGAGGTCGAGACGCGTTAAGCAATTGAGTTCATCAGACCTCAAGATAATATCACAAGACAAAATGCCTACACTAGACTCGGATCCCGCCAACGGGCTTGATAATTACGATGTTGACGACTTTTCTGACGATCCCTTTGCATCACCCCCTCCAGAAGCGGCCAACAAGAAGCGAAAAGAGCCAGATTCTGGTCTAGGTATTGATGAGGAGGTTGATGTCAAGAAGAGAGCTCGAGTTCCCAACGTGAAGCTCGACGAAGAGAGGTATGGAAATAGGATGCTACGTGGCCGCAAGTGATTCTGACATTATGTAGATTACTTGGACCAAAAGGTATTCCCAAGTTAAGGCAAAGGGCGAGGGACCTCAAGATTAAGGGCAAAGGCCATGAAGTATGCGACTATCCACCAGTTAGCACAGTTCAAACATGCTAATAGTCAATTCAGTTCTCTGACGCCTCTCGACTTCTATCCTTCTATCAACTATGGCTAGATGATCTCTTTCCCAAAGCCAAATTTCTCGACGCCCTTACCATGGTCGAAAAGGCCGGCCACAAGAAACGAGTCATGATAGCACGAAACGATTACATCAACGAGAACAAGCCCAAAGACAGAACTGCAGATGATGAGGACGAGGACGATTTATTCGGTGAAAACGATACATCAAGACCTGCAGAGCAGGAGGGCACAAGACCAACAGAACCCGCAAGACCAAGAACACCAGAGCAAGACACAGGCGTACCAGACGATGACGATCTCTACGATGCTACACCACAGGCTGCACGACAAACTTCAGGACCGATTGTACCCATCCGCAACGACGTTCCAGAAGATGATGATTTCGAGGCTCTTATCGCCGAGGCAGCAAGTCACGACGCAGCTCAGAAAGCGAAAACAAACCATACGACAGCGGAGCCAGACGACGATGACCTAGATGCACTCATGGCGGAGGCAGAAGTGCAAGACACCGCGAGGAAACCAGAGGCACCACGGGCTGAACCGGATGACGATGATCTAGATGCGCTGATGGCAGAAGCTGAGGGTCATGATCAGACAAGCAAAGAGAAGAGTCGAGGATCGAAAGATAAGGAGACAAATAATTTTGATGATGAAGAGGCTGCTATGCAAGAGATGGATGGGTTATGGTAAGGTTGCAAAAGGTATCAATATGGTTTGGCGTCCGGTGTTTAGTTAAGCACGAGTTTTTGTCTCCGGTGCATGTCATTGAACATCAATTAATCATATTGTCGAACATGTGTTGTTTAACACGAGCATTACTAGCTACTACGTTGCCAATCTCGAGATATATCTTTGTTCAACTCCAGATGATGCTAGCAGCTGCCAGAGGCTCACAGATATGTCTAAGTGGTAGAAAAAAAGTCGAAAGACCTTAAGTGATAGCAATCCTAATTCAAGTCTTAGTAGGTTGCGTGCGATAATCTTTGGTTCTCCTTTTTGCATGCATATTAAAGTCTGGAACCTCTTTGCACCTGAAGATGTATGAACGTGGAGTGCCAGTATGGTTTCAATCACTATCACAATCCGAGGCTACAGTCAAGTCGGCATTCAAGTCAAAGGCAAGTATCACGAGAATGGAACAGATAGTGATGGTCATACGCTTCTTTGAGCGCTTCATTGTATTGGTACACAAAAGATTTAATCGATAGGTAGGCTTTATTGCCGGTCCCCCCTGGGACATTGATCCTTTGCGCCTTGCACCATTTTTTCCAAATCAAAACATTATCACATTACGGTAGACTATCATGGAGAATACTCATGATGTCTGCACCCGATTGTTCTCTTCCTCCAATATCACTGACAAGGCAGCCTTCTTGCTTGGTTGATGTACACGTAGTGGGGAGCGAGTCTCTGGGTCGAGAACCTTGGCAGCTTCACGCTGAATTCGGGCCTCCTCTGTCCGGATAGCCCAGAGGAGGGTCAACAGTAGTTCACGCGACGGCAAAGTAATCTCGGAGAAACACCTTACCAACTCGTCTTGGCCGCGCGATTCCTCAGTTTCGCGCTCCGAGTTCTCGACCCTGTCATCGCATCCCTCAGACACCAACCGCAATGCCACCAACGTCGCATCCGTTAGAGGACGCGCCAGGGAGGGGCTGCTGGATAGGATTTTCCGAAGGGACTTGATTCTCAAGTTCGTGGAACCGGAGCTCGTCGCTGAGGATCGCAGCGGCGTCGTCAGTTGGCTTCTGGAGCTCTGCCGTGATGCCGTTTGCGGTGTCGTTGAAGAAGGTGCTGTACTCGAATTCGTCGTTGAAGCTGTTGTCGAGGTTGAACGCGGACGTGTCAAAATCCAGACAAGGCTCGTCAGTAGCTGAGGAGTAGGGTGAAGAGAAATGCCCGTTTTCAATGAGATAGCGATCTGTGTCAAAGGACGTTGACAGAAATTCAGAACCGCCACAGCTGAAAAGAGTGTCATCTGTAGTGGCAGGAGCCAGGCCAATGTTGGCTGAGTCGAGATTGTGTGTGACTGGGACTGGAATATCTTGGACACCTCCGCCGACATGTGACACTGCAGGTCGGACAACATCGCAGCAGGACGTTGTGTCAGGTCGGGAGAGGTGTTTTCAGACTGTTCCAGGATTGTCTCCTTGGCCGGCTCCTGTTGGGCAATCTCTTCAGATTCTTCGGGGACAGGTGATAGGCAGGGGGATAGTGCCATAGGATCAACGGTGGCGTTGGGAGAGACCATGGTCTCCATTGGCTGGTGTGTAGTTTGAGAGCTGAAGAGCTCTTTTGACAGTGGGGGAAGACCATTCGACTTTCGCATTGCTGCTAGCTCTTCCATGAGCCTGGCATTCATCTGCTCAGCCTGCTGAATGGCAACCTCGAGGTCCTTGTTCCTCTTCTCGAGGAGCTCAACCTCCTGCCTCTTGCGTTCACGAGAGGACTGGGCCGCGCGGCGGTTCCGTAGAACGCGCTCGACTCGGCGTTGCTCCTTTTCATCAGCGGTCTTGGCTCGCTTTCTGCATGGGGAGTTAGTGGAACCGTTCGTGACATCATCTGAATCTTTCGTTGATTCATACCTAGGAGGGAGGTTTGTCTTGGGCTCAGGGAGGACTTGACCCCATGACTTTCTCTTCTTGGTAGTCTTCTTCTCAGGAGCTGGCGAAGGGGATGGTGTTGATGCAACGCCCTCTTCCTGCTTGATCATGGGTAGTAGAGAATCCTCGTTGAAGGACTTTGGTGTCAACATGTCCATGGGGTTCACTGTTGAAGCGGCGCTAGGGGTGGTAGCGGCGAACAGTGATGTGTAGGCATCTCCAGGAGCTGACATGAGAGACTCGGCTGGAGATTGGAAGAATTGGGAAGCTGGTGATCCTTGTTGCTCCATGTTTGTGTGTTTGCTTATGTGTGATTAGGTATTGTTTTGTAGAATGGAGAAGCTGGAGTTGGTCTGAATATCAGATACAGCAACGGATATTATGGGGATGTGTAGCTGTTATTAGAGGTGTATGAGGCGCAGGCAGCGATGTTCCACCATCACAAGACTTGGCCAAAGTGTGAGTCAGTGACTAGACTTTGATTGCGTCTGCCTTGATCAACTATGAGTCAGGTCAGGTGATGGTGATGACGATAGGGAAAGAAGGTGCTTCAAGAGGAAAAGGACAGGTGTTCAGTTCACTCTGTGTTGGCGACCATTCGCTGGGTGCTTGTCGGTTTGGGAATGGAAAGGACAGCTTGGTAGGAGCGGACAGGCCCTCTTTATCTCTTGAGGACACGTTGAGAGTTTGGAGGGGCACGGCTCGGTAGATGTGACTGCCTGAGGCACCAACCCCTGAGATGGGTACCAAGGCTACCCCCCTGAACTCGTTTTGTGAACCTAAAGAGGGAAGGTGCTCTCGGATAGGACCCTTCTGGTGCCGGGATGCACTTCGCTACCCGGCCCATCCTGGAACAGGCTTTCAGGGGGGCGCAAGTTACGCCACCGAGCGACACGCACGGCGCTGTCCCCCTCAACTGCAGGGGGGCTTAGGAATCTCCCCCACAGCACATGCTGTAGGTCTCATTGGCGGAATACGATCTGACACAGCGCTGTACGGGCCTGTACGGAGCCCCATCGACCGTTCGAGTTTCCAAAAAAAGGGGGTTTGATCAATCGGAGGCCGTGAGACCTCCGCCCGTTAGTTGACGGAACACTGAGCCTGCGGTGCCAGAAACACCGTTCTTTGTTCAGTAGGTGACGGACCTTGTAGCTCCTTGTGCCTCATTTTGAGGATGGTGCGATGATCCATTGCCGAGAGTATCACTATTGGTGTGTACTGTACTCGGTACTCGTAGTGGGTGCACGAGAATAAAGATCAATAACTCAAAGCTGATGAGGCTCGTGTAACAAACACACAACTCAACAAACCCCGTTTTGGTGGCTTTTCATTTTAGAGAACGAGAGGCAATAATACCTACGTAAGATAAGCCAAAACTGCCGATTCCCATGAATACGCTTCAGCCATTTCTCCCTGTGGGTGGTGCAGCCCGTGCATTCCCATGGAGGAGAAAATGCTATTGAAATGTCGTGATCGCCTCTCTTGAGAACAACCACTGATATGGATCTACACCATCAAATCGAAGAAGCTTTCATTAACTCTAATCGGTGGTCGTTCACACTTTACAGAGTTTAGCATGGCTCTATTGAATGTTTGTTTCCCCAAGGCGTCTTATTCTGCACGATGACGAGATCTCAAAGAATGCGTACTCAAAGGAAAATGGGCGAAGGAGGTCGAAGGAATGGATCCGACAACCGCACAACTCTTGGTGCCTCTCACTGTAATTCTACTGCCTAGCGCTCACGATATGGAGTCCTAGATCTTGGGTGGTTTTCGTACAGTCAGCTATTGTCAGCTCTCCACAACCCACCAATCCACCCAAGCCACGCAGGGAGAAATCCACAAACTCAACTCCATTTCATGCAGGGCATCATCATTTCTCTCGTTATCGTCGATGATGGCTGCCAAGGGAGGAGAGAAAGCGGTGTTGAGAGCCATCAGCTCTTTGGGGTCCGTTGGTATGTGACCGAAGGTATCTTTGCAATCGACCATTAAACTCAAAGCAAATGATTGACAGGCCAATTGAAGAGCTCAGTAATTATCGTGACCCCTCCTGTAATGAAAGCCTCGTAGACAACGGAAACAACATCACAGCGCCTCAGAAAATCTTATCGGTGCTACTGCTACGTGACAGACGAACCTCGTAACGAAGCATTTGTATGCACACTTCGTAAGACGACATCGTCTCTGCTATCAGCGGTCGTGTCCTAACTTAGAAGCTGGGCTGACGCTGACTGACGCCTCATCAAGTGGAGTTGCTTTCTCGTGTGTGTTCCAAGAAAAGAACTGCCTGAAGCTAAGCTGCTGCTACTGCTGCTATTGTACCGCCGGCCCTACCGGAGACACATCCGCCATCCACCAAAATACCACCTCTTCCATTTGTTTCGCTGGCTCTGGAATCTCAAGGCCTCCATATTATCCACCAAATGCTCCATCTTACCATCATCGACAGTCGTCATCTTGGCCTGTTTCCTTGATTGCTGAGATCATCGTATTGTGAAGCTCGTGCTTATAGGCTACCAGTTTCAGAATTATTTTACTTTTTGCCAAGCTTTGCATTTGAGTTCAGCTTGCGCAGGCACAAACTTTCAGGCGATGACTGTAACAGAGAACCTTGATAAGTCGGTCTGATATGCATTAAGATTGACGAGATATACTCGCGAATCCCCTCACCAGATTCTCCACTGCCGAGATACATTCGATGCGGTGAACTGACATCTGAACTTTCGGTGTTGTTGGGCTCCCTTGATTGCTGGGATTGTTAGGTCCGTGAATCAAAGTCTCAAGTAAAGTTCAGCTTTGAGTCTTCAAGCCTCAATACCGAATTGAGACGGAACATGCAGATATTTTCAAATTCACCGGCTCTTCGGTCGAGCTCCCTTGCTGTGCTACGGATCGCATCCCCGCGACCTGGAATGGAACACTACTTTAGCCCAGCTTCTCTGAGAGCCCATGCAGCTGAGACTCGCTACGAATGGGGCCCCTTTTTCTTGGCGAAACTTGAACTTAACAAGGCACGATCTCGTTCGTCTCGAGCGGGAGGGAAGGGGATCTAGGCGAATCTACCAGCCGCCCATCAGACATCAGTCCAAGGGATTCCCTCTTTGAGACACGGAAGGGAGAGACATGCCAACGGTTAAAGTTACAGGGAGACACGCAAAACTTGTTCCAGTTCAACCTCTTCTGCCTCTGCCCTCGTTTCTAGCATGTCTCAGGAGTATCATGTTTCACTGTAAGTGATCTTCCCGTTCCCTGCCCGTCAGAGATATCGTTCGACCCTGATCGTCAAAGAACCCCTTTCTTGATCCCTCGAACCCAAGGATATCCCTTTTGGCCTGTCCAGCTCGCCTCTTGTCCCTAGCTTCCACGATAGTTCTTCCGCCGGAGATATAGTCCATACCATAGTCAGACCATAGATTCGCGCGCCAGTGATTGAAGGTCTGGACGGAAAAGGAGTTGGTGGATATTCTCATTCCAAAACGTAGCGTAACCCCTGCTTAGCAATATCGGGCTCATCTGAGCTTAATTGAACCAATTAATTAATCTCAAACTTGTGCTCTATTGCCGGGACCGTATCGTATTTCATCTTCATCTCTGACTTACGCCATGTCCTATCAAAGAATCTCATCTCATATTCGACGCGTTCCCCATTGTGTCAGGTTGGCCGGCCCCATACTTATGACTTATGTTAGTATCAAAAGGCAATGGAAACACAATAAACCCACTTCCTCTCGCGATCAGACATGTCCATACGAATTGCCCATCTCCATTTTCTGTGACTGAGTCAAGTCTCATCAGCTAAATCTTCAGCGTTGATCACTTTCCAACCTCTGTTTTCGCCCAGCCTCTTCGCGTCCAACCGCTGCGGCACCACCCGCCGCCCCTTAACCAAGCATTACTAGGACCAGACATTGAGTGAGAAACAGACTCGGATCGCAGCAAGTCCAAGCTCGGACTGCTCAGGATAATTACTCGTCTGTTGCGCAACGAAGTGCGTAGTACGCGGCAACGCGTAAAGCGGCATGTGGGATATTAAATGCTGGTCACCAGACCGAAGTGCCGATTGACAAGATATCTATGTGCCTTTTTTATAACGACCCTCGCCACGATAGCCCGATTCCTCCGACAGAACTTCCACATAACGATGACCCATATATTTGCGGCCGCTGCTCTTGAACGGGATCCTGAGTCCTGCGGCTTCCCGTAGAGTCTATGCCCGTTCACTCAAAGTGACTAACGTTTGTTGTTAGCTGAATACTGCTATCGACGAGTCAATGGCCTTTGACTAGCGAGTTTGTCCGTGAAGTCCATGTTTCAGTTCTGATATTCTTTAGAATGATCTCAAGTTATAGCAACTTTATTTCTTGAAACAATTATAGCCCAACGAAGCTTATAAGTCATCAAACCCGAGGCGATGTTTCAGCGTCGTTTCAATAACCATTGCATCTTGGATCATTGAGCCGAATGTTATTCATTCTTGCTGAAGGTGCAATTTACTGTTAGGTCCTCCATTCGTGGAAGTTTTGAGTACGTTGTTCCAGAAGCTTGAGGTGCTGGTTCACTGCTTGAGCGGCTATCCAGCTTAATTGGTGAATACTGTGCGAAAGATGGTTGTTTTCACGTCGATAATCCCCAGGGCTAGTAAGTACCGGTGTATTCATCATAGACGACAGTGCATTGTGACATTATGGGTGGACTATGCTTGAAGCTATCCATATTGAAGCATTCAGTCTTCGAATAGTGGGCTGACTGCTTATCGTCTAATCCTTCCATAGTCACGCATGATATTGTGATCACTAGTAATACCAGTGACGGCTATTTGAGTTCGTTCGTCATCGTCAGCAAAATGCTCCGGTCAGAAAGCCTTACTATCCGACAATATTCGTCAATAGTCGTTCATTCACTGCGGTCAAAACTACCCTAGATCAATGTAACAAGCCATCAGGAAGTGGCTGTGAAAAGCCACAATCAGAGCCTTATCAGTTCCGCAAAATTATCCGTCGCCGTTCGTTGCGTCATTCGCCCACTTCTCCAGCCTGTCTTCGTGGCGCCCCGCATCCAACCGTCCCATCCCATCGCAAGCCAAGTCAAGTCCGATTCTAGGCCTTCGGCGCTTCCATGCCTACCTAGAGTTTACACTCACATGACATTTACAATCTCTTCCAACTTTACTCCTCAACCGTAAAAACTCTTCCTCCACGACCTCTGCTATCACCTCGAGTCAACCACCCACAATGGCGAACCGTCAGATGGCCCGCGACATGCAAGTCGAGTTCCAGGCTCGCTTCCAAGCCAAGCAGGCTCGCCGCGAGGCCCAAAAGGCAGCCAAGCAAGATCCCATCCTGAAGAAGCAGATTCAGGAACTTCTCAAGAAGGGCGAGACGCAGAAGGCTTATCAGAAGGCCAAGATGCTGCTTTCAAAGCAGGCGCTTGCACAGCAGATGGATCAGATGGCTGATATGGCGGAGTTGTCTGCTGCGCAGATCCAGGCCAACAACTCGATGAACCGCATGACACAGATGATGGCCCAGTCATCACGAACTATGAATGTGGCCCAGAAGAACACCAACCCCGAGAAGGTGAGCACCTCGCTATCTATACGACATCAATGGACACTAACAGCAGCCTAGACCCTCGTCACTCTCGAGCAGTTCAAGCAGCAAAACGAAGAATACGCTATGTCCAACGGCATCTACCAAGACGCCATTACCCAGTCTACCTCCACCCAAGTCGGCGAGGATGCTGTCCACGAACTTCTCGGCAAGCTGGCCGACGACGCTGGCCTTGAGCTCAGCAAGGAACTCAACCAAGCGACACCATCGAACGCCGAACCCCAGCAGACCAACGAGCCTACCGCCGAGGAAGAGGATAAGCTTCAGCAGAGGCTGCGAGCCCTTCGCGCATAGTCTTGCCCCCCCACAGGAGAACTTGCTGGATTTGGGACTTTTGAATAGCCATCATTTTATGCGATAGGGCGGCATGACAGATACATAACGATCAACTTTCGCAGAGGTGCGTTTTCTTGGTTAAGGTTTGGCGTTGGGGTTTTGGTGGCGACATAAATTCATCTTCATCTCCAACTTCGAGAATGAACGCAATTTTTCTTTATTGTTTATGAACATCATACATTAGACATGGCAGTCGCTCTCTTTTCTCCTATATGCTCGTGACGTACATTGTACGCTCCATACAAATGCCAGATACTCCAAACTATGCTGGGCTTACATGTAAAGACTTGCCACTGCCGTAATATCCCTCTTGATCATCTCCTGTGCTTGTTGCATCTTTTGATACAGTTCGGGGTCACCCACAATTCTCGCCGCGTTCTTCACCTCGCGACATGTCTCATCCAGTCGTGTAATCGTTCGTACAATCGTGCCCTCAAGGATGTCCGTCAAGCCGGTGATGTTCTTGAAGCTCATACCTCGAGCCCACTCGTAGACCACTTCCATGAGACCGAACCTTGGTCGAGAAACAAAGTCATTTGAGTCGTCGGCGGACTGAATGACTTGTAGTCGGGTCTGCACGTCGTTCACCTTCTCGGAGATGGCAACGATGGTCTCCTTTCCTCGCTCGAGGTTGCCAGTCAGGGATGGTTCCATGTCGGTCTTCTCTTGGAACACAAATGCTGACAGGAGGGCGGCGATTTCGGCAGGTTCGTAGTCGGCGAGGACGTTGTCGAGAATGAGTTCTGTGAGAACCAATTCATCACCAGAGTGAATCTCACAGGCGACCTTGCCCTTGAGCTGAATTCGAGTAGCATCATCAATGAAACCAAGCTCCTTAAGCACTTGGACTCGCTGTTCGTAGTCGGGTAGAAGTTGAAGGTTCTGATCAGACAATGACTGCTTCAGCTGAGAGATATGCTCCTTGATGAGCCACTCGTCATGACACATTGCGAACTGTTTGTATAGTTAGTACTGAGGTCATGTCATGGAGAGGGGTGTGAACTTACGTGCTTCAAGAAGTCTGGGCACTTCTCAGCTGGTGAGCTCGATATCGTCTTGACCAATTCAACCCTCTTCTCCACAATCTCCTGCAGTTGCAATTGCTTGATTCGGGAGAGATCGAGTTCCTCCCATCTGCCATCCCACGAACCACACAGCTCTTGCAATTTGTCCTTCGCCTTTTGATAGCCATCTCCGCCCTGGAAGATCTCGGGAATAATACCCTTTGTCACCCATCTTGTAAGACACTCTACGTCGCTCAGAGGAACGTGAAGAGTCTTGGTCTGCACTCGCTTCTTACTCTTGGGAAGTTCGTGGAGATATTTGCGGAATGCAGGGATGAAAGGAAGCTGATCAGTAGCATCTCGTCGATCTCGAAGTGATTTGATGGCGCATACATGTAGTGTTGGATCCTCCGTCGTTCCTTTATTACTAACTCCGTCTGCGAGGAGGATACCGATGGAGCGAATGCCGTCCCAGTTGAAGACGACAAGGCGGTGCTGAGAGAACATTCTACGTCCAATAGGGATAGACAGCAAACCCTTGTACAGCTCAAATGTGAGTTTCTTGAAGTCTTGGGAAGCTTGATGGCATTCGTCCATCGAAACGTCGCAGATCTCACAAGAATCTCTCTTGACCTTGGCCAGATCTGCTTGCGCTAGCTTTACATCCTTCTCGTGTTCGGGGAGCAGCTGTTGAGTAGCGTGTTCAGAGAAACTGCGCTTGATCATCTCCTCGATCTTCAACGCCTCCACTCGGAGGAGATTCAGAATCATGTTGTATGTCAGTCGGAACTGTGACCGCAACTTAGACGGCTCTCCCAGAATCATGTTTCGGAGATCTGCAACAGGAGGAGCATCATCCAAACCTCCCGGTGGCACAATAATGACTGAACCAACTGTATCCAGACCACGACGACCAGCGCGACCGGCCATCTGAGTATACTCTCCTGGTAATAGATTTCGGAACGAATGTCCGTCATGCTTGCGGTATCCAGAGAATACTACTGTTCGTGTAGGAAGGTTCAAACCCATAGCAAATGTTTCTGTAGCGAACAGTACCTTGACCAATGTCTGCGCGAACAAGATCTCAACTAGCTCCTTGACGATGGGTAGCAATCCACCATGATGCACAGCGATACCTCGACTCAAAAGTTCCCTCAGCCTGATGATTTGTGGCAGCTGTCGGTCGTCAGGCTTTAGCCGCGCAACCGACTTTTCAATGATCATGTGAATATGGCTCTTCTCAGCGGCAGTGCAAAAGTCTTGGTTGCTGAGGGCATCTGCATTCTCTTCGCATCGCTTCTTCGAGAACACGAAGATACAAGCGGGCAAAAGAGTTTGCTTCTTGAGATATTGAACAAGGTGAACCCAGAGGTTCTTGTCTTGCGCAACAGATGTGAAGCCTCCAGCACGGCCTCCACGGCCCATATGACCAGGAGCATGGCTTGCTCGTGGTGGTCCACCCCGACCACGTTGTTGATTACCTCCTCTCTGCTGTTGGCCTCCTCCACGTCCGCCACGCTGGGGACCGCCTCGTTGAGTACCACCACGTTGGTTGCCACGAGAATTGCCTCCACGAGTGGCGACAGTAGTCTCTGCAGGCTTCGGCTTGTCTTTTCCTTGGATAGCAAAATGTGCGTCTTTCCATCCCTTCTCAATGAACTTCTTCTCCGAGTCCACGATCTTGTGGATGTCCTTTCCGGCCCAGAGATAATGCTCTAAGGGGACAGGACGCTTAGGTGTAGAGATGACGTAGATGTCTTTCTGCTTCGTTCGTCCAACCCACGAAGCAAACTCCTTAGTGTTTGGAACTGTGGCGGATAGTAGAATGAGAGACACATGCTCAGGTAGCATGATAATGACCTCTTCCCAGACAACACCTCGCTCAAAATCGTTGACGTAGTGGACTTCGTCAAAGATAACGAACTCGACATCGCGGATTAGATCAGCTCCTCGGTAGAGCATACTTCGAAGAATTTCCGTTGTCATGATCAGGCAACTAGCCTCAGGATTGATCTGGACATCACCAGTGAGAATTCCCACCTCGTCAAATGTCTGTCGAAAGTCACGAAACTTCTGGTTGCTGAGTGCCTTGATTGGCGAAGTGTAGATGGCCTTCGTCATGTGTTTAGCAGCCAGCGCAATTGCGTACTCTGCTACGACGGTCTTGCCAGCTGAAGTATGCGCTGCAACGAATACTGAATCGCCGTTCTCCAGGTGGTAGACTGCTTCCTTCTGGAAAGTGTCGAGTTCAAAAGGCCACTCTCTAGCCATATCAGGCACAAGTTCTCTGAAGTTGGACATATCGTGGTTGATGTCGACCATATGCGCCCATTCGCGACCAGCCTTGCGAGCACTCGAGGCTGCAAGAACCCCGTGGGGTTCCAGGGCGGGGAACTCAACAGGCAGAATGTCGTCGATATCATCACCATCATCAGCAGCAGTTTCGTCGGGAGTTGCATCCGGAGTTGTAACATCCGTTGAAGTTTCATTGCCACCTTCTCCGACTTTGGCGTCTTCTGGATCTTCTTCGAGTACCTCCTTGACTGCGTTCGCATCTTCTTGGCTGATACTTGTCTTTTTCTTAGTGAAGTCGATTCCTCTGCTCATTCCAGGAGCCTTCTCTAGTAGTCCACCCTCGGCACCAAGCTGGATCACTCGTTCAAGCTTGTTACCTGTGCTACTTGTCCCTGTAGCATCTCCTGCAACACCTGTGTGAACTTGATCCTCAAATGCCGCCGTTGCTTCGATGCCCTCGAGACCACCGGGAGCGAACGGAAAGAAACCTGCGGCGCCCCTCACGAAATCAGCACGATTGGCAGGCTTTCGAGACAGACTTGTCGAGTTCTTGGCTGTGGCACTGTTTGCGGGGACAGTGACGTTCTTGTAGCCTGTAACACGACCTTCAAGTCCATGACGCTGAAACCTGGTGAGAGTTCGAGTATGCGGTGGCGCAACCTTGTAAAGCGAAGTATAATCGGCCTCATAATCCCATCGTTGCTGAAGTCGGTTGAGCCACTCTGGTGAAAACTCAGGCGAGGGTGAGAGGAGGAGCTCCTCTAGGTGTCGCTTAAGTTCTTCTGGATCTTGAGTCGCAGGTTGGCGTTGACCGGTCTCTTCATGCCCTCTTTCAAGGAGAGCGTCGATACCAGCCATGCCTGTTGATTTTGAGTTAAGCTACAGACAAAACTGTGAGATGGAATTCGTTATGGTAAAATGAATATTGAAGTGATGCAAGCTTTAAGTTAAAACTGCCCCACCATTGACGTTGGTGATTCTGACATTCATGGCAGGACACACTCATGAAGAGCTCATAGCTCCACTTTGATTACCCTGTACCTACAAAAATTATCTCCGATCCAGATATTTGACATGACTTACTTTCTAGATCCGTAGAGGGGCCTTCGGGTGATCTCAGAAGACGATGGTTTTATATATGGCTTAGTTTCGAAACTTCGACTTACAGGAACAAGATCTCTCTACAACTTTTATCCTTATATATTGGTTAGTGGGCAAAGACATGGCATCCTACGAACACAGCTCACAGTCAAGAGATGCACAAATGTGAATTGGTAGATCATTAATAAGACGGCTGCTATGCCCTGACTATACATGGCAACACGCGGTAAAATTACATTTCCTTTCCCTTCCGCACGTCTATCAAAAAAGTGTCCATCAAATACGCCAATTGGACCAGATTTTCATCCGCGTCGCAATTCAGATGCCACGATGGGTAGCATGAAGCAAGCTCTGTCATACACAATACGTAGGCATGGGCGTTGACCTGACATGCTCAAGCAGGTAAACTATATTCTCTCTCAACCCTCATGTCGCTTTTCTACAGACGGAGGACCTTGGCAGCGTAGTCCTCAATCAGCTGCTCGGTAGGGAAGGACATCTCCTCGAGCTTCTGGGCGTAAGGGGTAGGGACCTCAGCACCAGTGACACGGGCGGCGGGGGCATCGAGGTAGTCGAAGCCGTACTCCATTGTCAAGGCAAGGATCTCAGATCCGACACCGAAGGCAGGGTAGCCAGACTCGACGGACAAGAGACGGTGGGTCTTCTTGACGGACTGGATGATGGTCTCAACATCGAGAGGCTTGATAGATCGCAGGTTGATAACCTCGACCTCGACACCGTACTTCTTCTTGAGGTTCTCGGCGGCAATGAGAGACTGGCCAACAGTGCGGCCAAGGGTGACAATGGTCAAGTCCTTGCCGGATCGCTCAATCTTGGCCTTGCCGAAGGGAATGACGAAGTCGTCCTTCTGGGCAGCCTCGGACATGGGGAAGCTCTGACCGTACATCAACTCGTTCTCGAGAACAACGACGGGGTTGGGGTCGCGGATGGCGGCCTTCAGGAGACCCTTGGCATCCTCGGAGTTCCAGGGAGAGACGACCTTGAGACCGGGAATGCTGCCGTACCAGGCGGAGTAGTCCTGGGAGTGCTGAGCGCCGACACCAGCGGCGAAGCCGTTGGGGCCACGAAAGGTGATGTTGCAAGGCTGGATACCACCAGACATGTAGAGGGTCTTGGCAGCAGAGTTGATGATCTGATCGATGGCCTGCATGGCAAAGTTGAAGGTCATGAACTCACACTAGATTGGTGAAGCACAATGATTAGAGTCTCGAGCAATCACATTGCGGAAGCTGAGATACTTACGACGGGGTGAAGACCACTGAGGGCAGCACCAACAGCGAGACCACAGAAACCAGACTCAGTAATGGGAGTGTCAATGACACGCTTCTCACCGAAGCGGTCGAGAAGACCCTTGGTCACCTTGTAGGCGCCGTTGTACTGAGCAACCTCCTCACCGAGAATGAAGACCTTCTCGTTCTGCTCAAGCTCCTCAGCGAGAGCCTCATTGAGCGCATCTCGGACAGTGACCTCCTTGACACCAGAGCTCTGGCCGTCGGCGTAGGATCGGGTCTGGGCGGAACCGAAGACAACAGGTCGGGCAAGAGCAGCGCGAGCGACGGCAGACTGGGCGAACGAAGGGGCAGCGGGAGCGCGAAGAGCCCGGGTCGAAGCAGCTAGGCGAGCTGCGGGTCGAAGAATGCGAGACATGATGTGCGGCGGTTTGTTGAACAAGTCAATTGACCGAGGAGTCGGAGAGGAGGAGTGCGGAGGGTCGACGGGGAAGAGAGAACAGAACTTGAAAGACAAGAAGCTGCAGTGGACAGGCTTCTCTTAATTCCCTGGTCGTCGACTTTGACGTGGGAATTGAAAATGGTGATGAACTGAAGTTGGTGTTGAGAGATGGAACAGGTCGGGTTGAGAGAGGGAATTTCACCGAACAACGCTTTCGCTGGCCAGCTATCAGTTTTTTTTTGGGGCCAGTCGGTACGTATCGTGCCGGAACTGCGAGGTACTTGAGCCCTCACCAATTTCCAGTGACTAATGGGGTACCCGCTCTCCAAAACCCCCGAGGGAGCCTCCGTTAGCTCGGGGCAGCTTTATCCCTCTTGCTCCCCGCCTACAACGACTTTGATGCGACCCCTGCCACTCACTGCAGCACTGTTCTTGAAGAGTAGCCTACTAGCGCTGAAGCACCTATCAGAGCTCAGAACAGAACCCTCCGACCCATTTCGAAAGTCTGTTGGGGGATCCAGGGGCGCATTGGGGGACCATTTATTTCCACCAAAAACTTGAAAACTGAGTGCTTTATCTGCTTAAACACAGTCAGATGACGGTACCGGAGAAACAAGAAACCGCTAATAAGAGATCACCTCAGCATCGAATGTTGGTATGGTTCAATTGATGTATCATGGCCAATCAGGCTATCAATGACAAGAAATTTGAAATTGTATGGTATGTATATTACAATTATAAGCCAGTATTGTCCCCAAACTCCTCTGCCTTCTGGATCCTCTATATCTTGAGGCCGGCCACTTCATATATGTATGCATCATCAGCCAGCATGATTTGCCCTTTTTATCTTCATAAGATGTTTTTGTTTTGGAATTTTGTTGTCATAAGTCTGTTGCTTTACGCAGCAGGCTTGCGAGCCACCATGAGGTACATGGGGGTGAAGAGGTGATCCCGACCACCAGCGACCAAGCAGTCGGCAGCGAGAGCCAGACTGTCAGCAGTCTTCTTGGTACCAGCAGGAGCAAGCTTGAATGTCTCAAGGAGACCAGCCAGACCGTGGGCAATGGTTCGTCCCCAGGTGGTCATGCGCACAATGGTGAAGATGTCACCAACGGACTGAATGTAGCGGAGCTCACCAGCCAGGGGCCAGTACCATGGGAGAGCATCAGGGCGCATAGCCAGATCCTCGTGGTGGAGCATCTCGAAACCAGAGTCCTTGATGGCGTCAAGCCCCTCAGAGACCTTGCACATGTTGGAGATACCATCACCCTGCTCGATACCCAATCGAATCTCACGGTGGCGGAGGTTATCGTTGTCGTACTCATCGGTCATGAGCCACTCGTACACACCGAAGACACCACCGGGCTTGAGAACTCGGAAGATCTCGCTGTAGATGCCCTTGAGAGTGGGAGCGTGGCAAGTAGCCTCAATGGCATAGACGGCATCGAAGCTGTTGTCAGGGAAGGACATTTGCTAAAAGGGGTATTAGTTGGGGGTCGGGACCCGAGGATGCTGGGCAGTACGAACCATAAAGTCACCCTTGACAAACTTGAGCTGGTCTGACAGACCCTCCTTGAAAGCGTAGTGGGTAGCACGCTCAATCTGGTAGTCGTTGTTGTTAAGACCAGTGATGTGGGCACCAGTGAACTTGGCGATCTCGCGAGCGGGACCACCAACACCGCAACCGACGTCGAGAACCTTCATGCCCTCCTTGATGCCGATCTGGTGAGCAAGGTAGTGCTCATGGCGGGCAATGGCCTGGTAAAAGGGCTCGCCCTGGGAGAATCGACAGAAGTGGAAGGACTGGCCCCAGCCATACTCGTAGAGATCGGTAGCAAGGTTGTAGTAGCTGTGAACCCAAAGTCAGTCGACAGTCCAAAAAGAGACGTTCGAAGACATGAACCAGAATGCCACGGAGAAACAGAGACAAGAATCAGATCACTTACTGTCGAGTCAAAGTGGCGTATTCGGCTGTACGGGCCTGACCGCTATGTTAGTTCCTCCTATTCATTCATGGCGGGGCATATCAAGGGATCATACAGCTCGCTCCTCAGGAGTCTCGTCCTCAGCGCGCTTGTTATCCCAGTGCTTGAAGTACTCGTCGACAGCAGCCTGCTTAGCAGAACCGCCCTTTCGGAACATGGCAGCAACACCTCCTCGGGCCTGGGCAGAGGATCCGTGCATGGCCTTGTTGAAGTCGGCATCGCGCTGGTGATCCTCGCGCTCGAGGTTGGAGGCGGTAGATGAGGCAACCATGTTGAATATGGTGTAAAGTGTTGAAGGGAAAGGAGAAGGTTGTTGAAGAGAATCGAAGTCAAGGCAGAGAAGAGAAGGACAGCAGGCGAATTAATGATCGATTGAAAAGTAGAAATCTAAAGGGAGCGGGTTGGTTTTAATGGCAGAAGGTTGCGCAGAGGGACGGCCTGTCGCAACAAACAAATTTCAGGGCCCTCCCCTGAACTATACAAGCCATCCCGTCTATGGGCATCCAATCTCAATTGCGAATTGAGAAGTAACAGTACGCTAAACTTGAAGTGTATTAGGTCCCCTGTCTATCGCTTGGGGGTCTAGGGGGCCGGGTTCTTGGTCTAGGCGATCCGATAGTTTACGACCCGAAGTAATTTACGGATGCTAAGTTAACTCTCCATCAGACTTTGACCTTCATGTGAAAGACAAGGAATTAAACAAGCTGTTGATTTCTTTGAAAAAGCTTTGATTTGCCGTTGCATTAATTGACCAAATTATCCTTGTAACTGTCCCTCCTTTCGCCACAATTCGGAAATGTCTGGCGGTGAGAGCGCAGCGCAGCAGCTAATTGATGGATCCGGAGGCTCAATTTGCGAGAAATGATACGAATACGAAAGCGTCTACGAGAACATTGTCTCTACAATGGAACAAAGATACAATGCAAGTCATGACAACTCACTAAATAACTGGATAATTGTAGCCGGACAGGTTCCGTCATGATGATAACAAGTCTATCATATTACCTGCATCTCTTCATCATATTCTGAACTTCTCCAACTGCTGGGTCGCCAAACAGATAATTTTCGTTTTCGTATCGAACCATTGATGTCAACCTCATATCATGAGAAGCCCCCAGATCTACTAGCAGCGGATGACTTCTCCAGAACTTTAAACCAAGACAATGACAAAAAATAGATCTTATGACGAAGCTATCAGATTATAGATCTAACTTGGGCAAAACCTCCAAAATGAATGATCCAGTCACGATTGAGGACTTACATCTGTCCGAGCTGACCAGGAGATGTTATTACCGAGGCTTATCGATAAGACTATAGCCCCTCTGCCCAATGACGGCCAACTCCGGTTTTAAGTTTGGAGTCTGAGGCCATATTTTGTATTACATAAGGTGGCGGATGACCGGATTTCCGCGCCTCAACTCCAAAAGTCATCAAAGTCAACTCGAAGCTTTCTCTGCGCAAAATCATTACTCTATCTGTTCACAATGCCGCCTCAGATCAAGCAGGATCTCAACCGATCAGGATGGGAGACCACCGACTTTCCCTCCGTCTGCGAGACGTGTCTACCAGATAATCCTTACGTCAAGATGCTTAAAGAAGATTATGGTGCAGAATGCAAATTAGTAAGTCTTTCGCGTCGATTTTCTTCGCGTTTTCGCATAGAGACAATGCTAACATATGTTTAAATAGTGTACCAGGCCTTTTACTGTATTCGCTTGGAGCGGTACTCGCGCCAACGGCCGTAAGAAGCGAACAAATATTTGCTTGACCTGCGCGCGACTCAAGAACTGCTGCCAATGCTGCATGCTCGATCTTTCCTTCGGTCTTCCCATCGTGGTTCGCGATGCTGCTCTCAAGATGGTCGCGCCCGGCCCGCAGTCCGACATCAACCGAGAATACTTTGCGCAAAACAACGAGCAGCTCATTGAAGAAGGAAAGGTTGGACAGGAAGAATACGAAAAGACGGACGAGAAGGCGCGCGAACTACTACGAAGACTCGCGAACAGTAAGCCATACTTCCGCAAGGGCAAGACTATCGAGGAGGGCGAGAGCTCTAAGGGTGGAAACGCAGCTGTCGGTGCTGGTCTTGGAGGACCTGGTCCAATTCGGACCCGAGACTCAAAGGCAGCCGCTGCTGCGGGAGCCAGGACTGGTGGTAAGGGTCGTCAGGTCTTCCCCAGTGCTGCCCAACTCCCTCCCAGTCCACGCGACTGGGTCCCCCCCGCCGACAAGAACATTATGTCACTCTTTGTGACGGGTATCGAGGACGATCTCCCTGAGTACAAGCTTCGCGACTTCTTCAAGGTTCACGGCAAGATCAAGAGCTTGGTCTGCTCACACATGTCGCACTGCGCCTTTGTCAACTACGAAACTCGAGAGGCGGCTGAGAAGGCTGCTGAAGCATGCCAGGGTCGCGCCGTTATTGCAGGATGCCCTCTAAGAGTTCGATGGGGACAACCAAAGGCTATTGGTACTATGGACAAGGACGAGAGGACGCAGATGCTGCGAGATGCTAGACAGCGCCAGGGGGGATCTCAAGGTCAGCGATCGATTGAGGGTGACAGTGGTTCTGCCAACCGTCAAGCTCTGCCAGCCCCAGTGGCAGCGCCCCCAGGAGCTTCCGACACACCTGCTTACGCCGCTCTCTCTGGAGACTAAATGAAGTAACGACTTGTTTTATGTTCATCATAAGGTAGAAAGACATGCCTTTTGGAGTTTGGCGTCAGGAAAAGGACATCATGGATAGGGTGGTCTTCATTAGCGAAAAGGACAATTGATCATGGAGGTTGCAGATTACGTGAGAAACAGGAATAGATGGGAAGCAGAGAGCTATTCTAGAGTGATGATCATTTTGGTGCATTTCATTCCTGGAGGGTATCATGACAGTCAGATAATGTTACAAATTGTACAATGGGACTAGTAGTCTCCTCTCATTTTTTACCACCACCACCGCAGCAGCCACCTGAAACTGCGCCCTTGCCAGCCGTCTTAATAGACTCGTTATCGCCTCGTTCAATATCCTCGTGTATTCTCAGCTCTGTGAATGCTGTTAGCTCCTGTCTTGTCCCTCTGCGGACCCGTCTGAACTCACTGAAGGTATCCTTGCCCTCTTCTGTTCTTTGGCCTTGGACAACATTCTGACGAAGGACCTTTGCAACATCCTCGGCATGCTTTATAGCAGCAGGAGCATCGGAAGCGTTGATCGAGGCTTTTTGGCGGAACTCGTTGCGGATTTGAAGCTGAGCAGCAGACAAGATAGGGGCGTCGCCTGTAAGCAACCAAACAGTCAGCATAGCCCATTGGGCCAGTTTTGAACATCGAGAACAGCCGTATTCAATGTTCGGTTGCGGAATAGTTGCGTACCTTGGAAGGCGATTCGCGCCGCGCGCATTAGATGCCGGTAAGCATTGAGAGCGGGAGCGGGAGCGGTGGCCATTTTGAGATCTGACAACTCTAACGAGTGAAAAGTCTTCGAACCGAGAGTAAAGACTGGCGCAACGAGTCGTGCGTGTCGTGCTAGGGTTGTCGTGGTCGAGTTGAAACGGCTTGGAAATCGAAAGGGAAAAAAGTCCAGTCAAGTTCAATTGGATTGGATAGTTTCAATGACCAGGCGGCTCAGCGGGATTGCCGGGAGGCCTGATCACTGAGCCGGGAATATTCAGGCGGGCCCGGACACATGAAAACGCTATGGTAGAGCATTCTAGAGCGCCCTGCCACTTAACTGTCCCATCGTCCACTGGAAGTTTTACCCCGCCAATAAGTTAAGCCCATCCGTGGTGGGGGAACTCGATTAAGTGCGCCATTGAAAAAAATTATTACAGCCAAAAAAAAAACGTCGGGATTTTTTCTCCCTCTCCATCACCACCAAATCCACACATCACATAATGGCTTCCGTGGCTACTGTGACCCTCCCCCTTCCCGCCCTTCCCAGCGGATGGGCTGCCGACAAGGACTTCAAGGCCGTTGGAAAGCTCACTGAGGCTACTCAGCGAACCATCGAGCCTGTTGGACCTCACTTCCTGGCCCACGCTCGACGTGCCCGTCACAAGCGCACTTTCTCTGAGGATGACCGTATCCAGGCTCAGGAGAGCGCCAAGAACGTCGAGGATGGCGATGTCAGCGATGAGAGTGAGCCTGAGGACCCCATGATGCTCCAGCGTGAGGCCAAGGACTGGAAGGTATGTATTTGTTATGATCCAATTCGATATTCCATACTAAAAAGCGTAATCTAGACCCAGGACCACTACAAGATTCTCGGCCTCTCCAAGTACCGATGGAAGGCTACTGAGGACCAGATCAAGAAGGCTCACCGCAAGAAGGTCCTCAAGCACCACCCCGATAAGAAGGCCGCTCAGGGCCGTGTCGACGACGATCAATTCTTCAAGTGTATCCAGAAGGCCACCGACGTCCTCCTTGACCCCGTCAAGCGTCGCCAGTTCGACTCCGTCGATGAGGAGGCCGATGTCGAGCCCCCCACCAAGAAGCAACTCCAGAAGACCGACTACTATAAGGCATGGAGTAAGGTCTTCAAGTCTGAGGCTCGCTTCTCCAAGACTCACCCCGTCCCCTCATTCGGCAGTGCCGACGCCACCAAGGAGCAGGTCGAGGAATTTTACAACTTCTGGTACAACTTCGACAGCTGGAGGACTTTCGAGTATCTCGACGAGGATGTCCCCGATGACAACGAGAACCGTGACCAGAAGCGACACCAGGAGCGCAAGAACACCAACGCCCGCAAGAAGAAGAAGGCTGACGACAACGCCCGTCTCCGCAAGTTGCTAGACGATGCTTCCGCCGGTGATGAGCGTATCAAGCGATTCCGACAGGAGGCCAACGCCGCCAAGAACAAGAAGCGTTTCGAACGCGAGGCTGCTGAGAAGAAGGCCAAGGAGGATGCTGAGGCCGCTAAGATCGCCGAGGAGAAGGCCCGCCAGGAGGCCGAGGCTGCTGCCAAGGCTGACCGTGAGTCCTCCAAGAAGGCTAAGGAGGCTGCCAAGAACGCTGTCAAGAAGAACAAGCGTGTCCTCAAGGGTTCCGTCAAGGATGCCAACTACTTCGCTGCCGGCGAGCCCACACCCGCCGACATCGACTCCGTTCTCGGCGATGTTGAGACCATCCAGGGCAAGATTGATCCTGATGAGATTGCTGCTCTTGCTGGTAAGCTCAACGGTCTCAAGGTTGCTGATGAGATCAAGGCTGTCTGGGTCGGCGAGACCAAGAGACTCGTCGAGGCTGGTAAGCTCAAGGAGGGTGATGTTAAGGTCTTGGCTTAAGCGATTCGTATTACGTGGTTAGGAAAATGAATGTTGAGTTATTATGATGGGTTCTAGATAAAAGTAGATACGACGATATGTTTTCTAGATCAGAATAGAACGAGCTCTAGACTTTGTTCAGGCTACGTTTTGATCCCATTATCCTCTCGCCAACTTTGTAAATGTGGCATGGACAAAGTGACCTCCTGTTGAGCGCTTTCACACTGTTCTTGTAATGGTGTCATATCTGTCCGACCTGGAAGTCGCTGTTCCAGTTATCGAAGATGCAAGGTGAAAGGGAAAAGACACATTGACAGAACTGGTTTCACATGCCAAGTTCAGCTGCTTATATGCTGAAATGGGAAGTCTATTTGCATAGGCTTTTGTGCCTGCTCTATATTACAAAAGTTGTGGTGATAAATGTGTACAAAGAGTAGAAAGATTGGTCGTCCTGATTCTGGACTCAACCATGTGCAGATGAGTAGAGAATCCCAAACCAGAAACATCACCAAATTCAAGTTCACGGCCCTGACATCCTGAGGGCGACTCCTTGAACGCCGGTCCCCATCTAATGCTTACGCCTCCCTATCCAGAGATTGACCCAAGACCATCTCATAGTAAAGCCCCCTCTTCGCAACAAGCTCCTCATGTCGTCCCCTCTCAACAATCTTCCCACCAGCAAAGACACAGATAACATCAGCGTCTCGAATAGTGCTCAGCCGGTGAGCTACAGCAACTGTTGTCCTTCCCTCCGCTGCTCGATCTAACGCCTCCTTGACCACCTTCTCACTCTCTGTATCGAGGGCACTGGTGGCCTCGTCGAGGAGAAGAAGACGCGGCTTGCGGATAAGAGCTCGGGCGATGGCAATACGTTGACGTTGGCCTCCCGATAGTGAGAGACCTTGGTTGCCGCAGGGTGTTGTAAGTCCCTCGGGGAGAGAGGAGACGAATTCGTAAACGTTAGCTTGTTTGCAAGCTTCAATGATCTCGTCGTCAGAAGGAACGCCTTCTTCGATACCGAGGGAGATGTTGTCCCTGATTGAGCCCTGATACAAGACTGGCTCCTGCTGAACGAGGGCAATATCTCGTCTGTGTAGTCGTCTGTCCTTCATCTTGATATCCTGCCCATCCGCAAGTAACATACCCGAAGTAGGATCATAGAAACGCTCAAGAAGCGCTATCATAGTTGATTTACCGCACCCTGACGCGCCAACTAACGCGACCATCTTGCCCGATTCAATGCTGATATCGACCCCTTTGAGAACCTGCAACTTGGGTCGACGGGGATAAGCGAATGTGATCTCCTCACAAGACACATCAATTCCCTTCTCGGATGACTTCTCACTTCCTGAAAAACCTGGTCCATTCTCTGCATTATCGTGAAGAACCTTTTGACGTCGTTGTTGGAAGATGTAGTTGATGGCGGTTCGTGCTTTGGTGATACTCGTGGTGTATTGGAAGAGCATGGCTGATGTTTCTCCGGAGAAGACGACGGCGATGAAGATGACGTAGAATTGATCTGTGGTATACTCGCCAAAGGAGACAAGGCGTCCTCCGTACCTACAATATGTTAGTGGTGTCCGTGCTTGCTGAGAGGGGTGAATGAACTTACCAGAACCCCAAAGCCATAGCTAGGAATGACGCCGACTGACTGAAAGAGTAGAACAACATCTTCCAGCCCAGACCAGCAATTGCCTCCTTGGCAAGTCCTTCAAGGGCGCTGCTGTATCTCTCAATGACAGCCCGTTCCAAAGCCAATGAAGACACAGTCCTGATTCCCAACACAGCTTCCGAAGCCAAGCTGCTACTCTTTGCAAATCGTCCAGCAGTATCATCGTCAAACTTATACTCAAGACGAATTCGGACATAACCTGAGCCAACAAGAACTGGCAGAGCGCAAAGAGTAAGCACAAGACCGAGCTTCCAACCGTAGGCAATGGCAAGGATAGAGCTTGAGAGGACAGTGACGATGTTGATCATGATGAGCGATAAGTTCATAGATAGCAGTTCCTGGAGACTTGTAGGCTCGGCAGCTAATCGTGAAACGAGAGCGCCAGTTCCGCGATTGGGATCGTCGAAGAAGACCATGTCTTGTCGAAGGGTGTTGTCGAAGAGCTCGCTGCGGTAGACAGTCATGACATGCTGAGAAGTGTTAGTCTTGTAAGCCTCATGACACGGATGAAGTAGACACTTACCTGACCGATCTCATTGCAAACCCAGCCAGCAACAGCATAGATGACAAAGTTTGCGAGAGCAACGATGAAGAACATCAGGGAGAAGAAGTTGGCTTCACTGACGTCGATCGTCTCGAATGCTTTCATGGTTTTTGAAAAGAGGATAGCCAGTGCTGGGTAAGTACCACCTAGTTGTTGTAAGTATACCTCCTTTCTTAAGTCGCTTGTGATGAGACTTACCTCCCAATAATGAGATGATGACCAAGATGAATCCAGAGAGCCATAATGACCTCTGCTCCTTGATAACAAGCCAAAGTCCCTTAAGAAGCCCATAGTTGATTCCATCATCCTGTGAGATATCGGCTGTAGCATGCTGAGAAGCGCGAGACAAGACAGGATCAAGGCCAGCAACTGGTTCCTCCTTATCCGTCTCACTATTCTCATCATCCGACGAAGCACTTCCCTTTCCAAGGTCCTGCAAGCGAACAAGGCGCGAGTATGTACCACCTCTCTCAATGAGAGAATCGTGTGAGCCTTGTTCGATAGTTTCACCTTTGGCCATAACGATAATGTTATCAGCATCTCGAATCGTAGACAGTCTGTGTGCAATGACGATCATGGTTCGACCCTTGGCGACGTTGTTGAGAGCTTGCTGCACGATCTTTTCGGCGTTGGGATCAAGAGCGCTTGTAGCTTCGTCGAGCATGAGGACTTTGGGGTTGGAGATGATGCTGCGGGCAATGACTACACGTTGCTTCTGTCCGCCAGATAAGGAGGCTCCTCGCTCGCCGATCCAGGTATCGTAGCCCTGAAAAGGGGTTAGTCAAAGGAACCTATGGCAAAAGGAGGGACTTACATTTGGCAATGTTTCAATAAAGTCATGGGCATAAGCCGATTTGCATGCATCGATGACCATTCTCTTCTTTTCGTCTTCTGGTAGGTCCACCGTAGGAGTACCTGTCAAGCCGTCGACAACATTTTGATAGATAGTGCCGCTGAATAGAGTCGGTTCCTGGTAAGGAATCAGCGCCAGTTTGACCTTACAGTGTCCTTATATCCTTGTACATACCTGCTGAACCATTCTAATATTTGTTCGCAGCCATTGCAAGTTCAAGCTCTCAACAGGACGTCCATCCAGAGTAATAGAACCCGCACTTGGCACGTACCATCGCTCCAAAAGTCCAAATATAGTACTCTTTCCTGATCCGCTGGCTCCAACCAAAGCAGTCGTTTGATCAGCAGGAATATCGAGGTTGAGTGAGTGAAGGATTTCAACGTTGGGTCGCGAAGGGTACGCAAAGCGAACTCCGCGGAACTGAATGTCGCCTTTGAAATCGGGGATAGTGTCTCCTTCTTGTGATAAAGCATCGATTTGGGACTTTCGATCGATCATTTCGAACATCTCCTGTGCGGCTGCAGTGGCCTTTGAGATGGCGATTGTCTGGGGTGCGATTTGAGTAAGAGCTGTGGCAGCAACAAGAACTGCAAAGATGACACTAGAAACATCAGATTAGTTGATCAATGCAAATATGAGCAGGGACAAGAGACTCACGTAACAACTGTACCAGGCTGAGTGATCTCGCCCTCAGAGTACATCCTCATACCCTGCCAAAAAGCCAATCCATAACCCGCAAAGATACAAAAGAACTCAGTTGGGAACAAAATCATGTAAACCCAAGACTTCTTATGACCAATCCTCCTCGCCTCGTCAAGCGTATTCGTAAACCTCTTGGAGAGCTTGGGAAACGCCCAGAAAGCATGTGCCGTACGAATAGTCGAGAAAGCCTCCTCAGCCAAAGAACTCGATCTCGAGTAGACATCAAACATGGCATATTCATAGCCTGTATCGATCGCGACGCAGATAATCGTTACAACGAGGTTGACGGGGATGATGGCGAGGACGATGAGTGTTAGTTTCCATTGCACGGCGAATGCGACGACAAAGGCTGAGACAAAGGTTGATAGAGCTGCGATGGTGATGCCGAACTTTTCGGAGATTCCTTGGTTGATGAGATTTCCGTTTGTTGTGATTTGTCCTGGAATTGATGATGAGGGAGAGTCGAAGAAGGCAACTTCTTGACGGAGAGTGCTTCGTACAAAGTCGACGCGCAGTGCTTTTGTGGTGTTGATGGCAGCGATAGAGACAAGTATCTACCCCTTTTAGCATCTATTTTTGTATATGCGGACCAAGATGTGGCCTACCGTCCAAAGATATGTCAAAGCAAACTTTGCGATAAAGAGATAGATAAAATACAAGCTATCAATGGTCAACTTTAGAATGCAAACAGTGGCCGACAGACATACCTATACTTGCTGACTTCACTTCGATACCCAGCAGGCGATAACACTCCGGTCGCAAAGTCAGTGAAAACGTTGATGAACTTTCCAAAAACAAGATCCATCAGGGGTAATATCGTTCCAGCGGCGATCATAGCCACGAATGCGACGCTGTTGAGGATCCATCCCATACGATCGTTGTAAGTAAAGACACGCTGCAAATAATGTTAGTACACCCTCACAATCGTCGCGACTGTCATACTAACCAGGTAGTACTTGAAGCTCGTATCCTTCTTTGTGTCACCCTTATCGTCTCCGTTGTGTTCAATAGTAACCGCCATATCCTGATTATTCGATACACCAGAATGTGAATGTGAATCGCCGGTCGGCGTTTCTTTTTCTTGAGTTTCAGTCATCTTGACTTTAGATCTGCTGTTTGTTGATGACCAGACGAAACATGAGATTGCAGATGAAGGTCGTTTTAAACAATGATGCTCGCTCTTGGCGTTGACGTCTAGACGCAACCCGAACACCCCGGGGTGATTACGGACTGACCAATTAGCTTATACAGCCGCAAGATCGACGGGGCTTGACGTGTAAGACCTAGTTTTGGAAGGTGTCCCAGAATGGCTCATTACCCGGGGTAATTATTGAGCCGCGTAGTTAATCTTGACAACCCGAGAGGCCTTTCCTAGATTTCGTATTCCTCGTTTAAAGGACTCATGTATGCAGTCCTACATAAAACTCAGTTACATGTAGTTTAAACATTGAGCAAGCTACCGAACACGAAAAAGAGCATCAATGAATGCTAGTTAATTTTCATCCCTGTTTCTCCAACTGTTTTGTTACCTACGATAAGCTCAATGTCATGTTAAAGCGACAGCCACATTCAATGCTGACCAGATCCGGGACGCCACATCCTTCTTTAAAGGTGTAAGCCACAATCCGGCGCCCTCAACTGCCGCCAATCGGTCCCCGCGGCTCCCGCTTCCCTTTCCTTCACCCTTCACCCTTCACATCCGCGATACTTACCGGAATACGTCGTCAGCTTTCTCTGAGAGCCTAATCGCTTTCATCGATTACCAAAGGAAAACTTATTACTTTATTGATCTTCAGCTTACTGCTGCAGCCTCAATTCTTGGCTGCAAGTGAATAACCAAAAGAAGGTTGCCGCATATCTCGACTATCAAGAACTCGATATGGATCCTGGGCACGCAAATAACGGACCCGCGGCTTCCGATGACTCTGCTCGGAGAGCGGTAAGTACCAGATTTCCGATTTAGCCAATTCCAGTGTTGGCATTATTCAGAATATGGATTCCCAGGGCTGCGTGTCGCTTACACGGCAACCCCAAAGCGATCAATCGCGAAACTGGTGTGCCAGTATACCCTTATTAGCTGCATCGGTCTGCTGCGAGTTTCATCCATCCACCATATCTCATGTAACGAACCCTTTGGATGTCAGGGCTAACAAGAACTTTTTTGAACACAGTGTGATCAGTGTCGTACGAGAAAGGTGAGCATCACCCATGAATGCCTCCAGGAACACCCCATAGTCAGGAGGTTTCTGTAAACAAAGGCTGTGCAACATAGATGGCATTGATAACACTCGCATTATATAGATCCGATGCGATAAAGACTGGCCATGCTCTAACTGTCGTACTGCCAAGCGATCCTGTACATCCACAGGCGTTGGCCAGAGACCCAAAGAGCCCCGACAGCGAGTTCTCATCTCGTCTCAATAGTTCGTGGCCCCAGACGCAGTATCTGCACATGGTGCCGCTTTGTCCCCTCCATGCAGCTTCGCCGATAGCCGTTCACCAACCAGATAAGGCAGTTCATTTACTAACCACTGGCATGCACGCCTTGTAGTGAACGAAAGATCGACCAGATTGAGGTCCGCTTAGGCAATATAGAAAGCCTCCTCCGGGATCTCTCCCAACGTCCCGTCTCCACTCCAGGAAGTAACATTCATTTTCCTGTCACCCCTGGACCCTTCCCGGGTCTCGATCCAGCCACTGCATCTACAGCTGCTTTTGACAGTTCCGATGACGAGTCTGCTCTGGGTGGTGATTCCGTAATTGCCCAGCAAACCTCGTTTGCCAGCGACCTTCTTGAGCATGCCGTGGAGCGCACCTCATTAAACGATGTCAGTCCCAAGATGTGGGAAGCTCTCGCAAACTTGAGACAGTTAGCCGAGCTTCAGAGTCGACAGTCCATCAGCCATGGTCCCAGGTTCCCACTCCAGCAGCCCATACCAAAAGGAGGCTTGGGACAACTGCCAATGCCCCCTATGGATATTGTTGTGAACCTGCTCAAGAGAGTCAGAGGTAACAGTGACCATAGCAACTTTGCAACCCTTTCGTTGACTGTCATCTAGCTTCTCCGCCAGGTCTCTTCACGTTTGTGTGTTATTTTATAGGAATAAGTGACTTCTCCAACCTCTGTCGAATGGTCTACTTTCCCACAGACGACTTTAGTGACTCCACCTTCATCATTGTCAACGTTGGTCTCTATTACTTGTTTCTTGAACAGCACCACTTGACCGTTGATAACAAGCCTCTGAAAGATGAGTTTGCATCACACCTTTACACAAGTCGCGTCAACCTGGAAACAGCGCTGGCAAACATGTCTCTCTTCCTATCAACCAAGATTGAAACAGTTCAGGCTCTCCTCATGGGTGTAAGCACAAGTCAGTTTGGTGTAACAGGTGCTGGGCACTAACAAAGTCATTAGACATTATACACCATCGACGTCTGCAGACCCTCTGTGGCTTGGCATCTCAACTGTGCTGCTGCGCAAATGTGCCAGACTGCTGGTTTCCATCGCAGGGATCTTTCAACGCGCAACCCTGAGGAAACTGACATTAAGATGATCCTTTTCTGGTACACGTATACCACGGACAAAGCACTAGCACTTCGACTAGGCCGTGCCCCTGCCATCCAGGATTGGGAAATCACCATCCCACGTACTTTCAGCTTTGATGGTATCTTGAGTCTCGAAACCAGAGCTGTGGCGGGCATGTGGCTCAATGCCGCAACGTTGCAGGGCCAGGTGTATGAGCAACTGTAAGTGTCATGACCTGCATCTGTGTTCCTCAGTCTTTGCAGCTAACGAAATTAGGTTTTGTCCGGCAGCGTTAAGCCAACCGCCAGCTGTGCTCGCTGAACGAGCACACTTGCTAGCAGCTGAGTGCCGCCGTGTCGAGGCGGAGGCGGATCAAAGTCGAGAAATGGCTATCTCATCGCTTGAGAAGATCGGAGCTTCGCCTCTAGTTGATGTCCATCTAAAGGGTGACGAAGTGCAGCTGTTGTCAACTATGACTCTCATCTACAGAGCAATCCCAGCTCCTGAAGGGTCGCCCACAAGGTTCTGTCAAGAGTGTATAGATACTGCACGAAAAGCTTCGCGCAAACATTTCGCGTGTATGGATTTGGTGCGAAAAGACCCCCACGCGAGAGCCATATATGTCCATTGGTAGGTTCATCGTTGCAATTCCTTGGGTTTTGAGTAAATCTAACAAAAATGTAGGAATCTGGTGTTAACTCCGTTCGCCCCCTTCTTCGTTCTGTTCGGATATGTCATTGAGACATCATCGCAGGAAGATCTTCAACTGCTGAAGCAGTTCAGTGCGTCCATTGAAGAGACCAGTGATGCGTCAGAGACCATGCAAAAACTGTCGCGACTATGCAGTATAATGAGCAACGTCGCGGCCCTGTATGTCGAGGCCAAGTCTCAACAACTGGAAGATCAAGCAATGGTACCCATCGGTGATGAGTTCGACGTATATTTGAGCCAACTAGGACTCATGCCTGTCATGGACTCGACTATGGGTAACGCAGGAGATCCCAATGCAGAGTTTGGCGAGAACACTCAAGTCAACCAAATGGCGGACTGGATGTCTGGAAGTCGAAATTTACTGGGATTGTTGGAGCAGGATATATCGCAGATCGGAGGTGTACAGTGGCCGCCCATGTAGGAATAGAATGATAGAGAGGACCCGGATAGACACTCGCAAATATATTTATCGTTTGATGTTCGTAACTTTAGATGAGTGCGAAGCAGCTCAGTCGGTGGGAAACCGAGGGTCATAGACTTCATAGCCCTCGTCCTCAGTGTCGCTTTCCGGTGACAAGTTCTTTTGGAGGCCAGGATTTACTGGTGCAGGCTCAAGGGTATTAGCCGGCTTGGGTTTCTCAGTCGTCGTTGCTGCAGGTCCGCCGCTCTCAACTTTGGTGAATGCGCTCTTGAAGCCACTCTTCTTGAAGCCGCCTTTCTTGAAACCTCCTCCACCGGTGGCAGTCTCTTGGCCAGGGAGCTTGATGCTGATGAGACCGTCGGCTTTGGCCTCGGCCTTACGCGCGCGAGAGCCGGCGGTGGGGTCACGAACCATGGCCTTCATGTCTTTGAGACGTTGTTTGTGACTGTGATCATAGCTGCTGAGATGGGCTTCATAGTCATTCATGCGTGAGTAGCCTTTGGAGCAGAGCTGGCAGTAGAAAGACTTTTGAGCCTCACGTGCCGATGCAGTCTGCGCCGAAGGAAGAGTTTGGTGTCGCTAGTGACGCGTTAGTCAAGCAATGAGCACCAGAGTATTTGGATCTTACTGGAGGCATATCTCTTCTGGTATCCTCTTTTAGGCAGTTATGAAGTTGACCTTTGACAGTGTTGTTTTGATAAGAATGTTGTGACTATTGTAAGCTGCTGATGCTTAATGAAGGAAGTTTGAGCAGTGACCACGATCCAGATAAGAAGTGCGGGCACTAACTCAGTTCGGCTAGAGCTCAGAATCTCGGCTGCCGCCAATCAAAACGTGGCATGTCTTGCTGACCGGGCTCCCAGAACCTCAACGTCATTTTCCCAGGGGGTCTTCGACAGGGGCTTCCAGAACCACCTGCCCCAGAGTCTTGAAAGCTTCCCCCGTGAATCCAGCACGTTGAGGCGCTAATCCCAACTGGAAAAACTTCCAGTCCCTTCCCTGTCACGAGCCCGCGCCGTCATCTTGTTTCTATTACTCCGTGTCCCCGCCAATATTTCTTGTCCTTTGTTATTATTGTTCACACAGATTCAACGCGCTGGGCGTGGTACTAATCATGGACTTCGACCAATCCCCAGATCGTCGAGCCTCGCAGGCAAGCTTCTTGTCTTTACAGCAGCTCGACCCTTCCCCGATCGATTCTCCGCCAGCGGATCCGTCTATTGACCGCCGGGACCTCGGGCCACCGCCTAGAGGAAGTGATGATGGATATGAGATGATTGATGCCGATGATATGGAGAGGAGCTCAGCAACTATCAAGGCTCCTTCGACCGGGGCTCCTGGGCTGAGCGCAAGTACAAACCTTACTCCTGGGGCTACAGGCCCAGGTCCAATCTTCTATCGTGAGTATCCAATACCTTCAGGTGCTTGAACGGCACAGTATACTGACTTTTCATCAGTTATGCGAATCCAGAAGTTCTCGAGCTACGCAATGGGTCTATTCACCTCCCTCCATCTCGCCAATGTATCCCTCATCCCCGCTGTTACACGCTCTGTCCCTGGCTCCGAGACGTACCTCCTCATGACTCGTGAAATCTACCAAACCTCCCTTACAGAACCAATTCTCGTCGCTCTCCCTGTTATTGCCCATATTGGATCAGGAATTGCTCTTCGACTGTTGCGGCGATCCCAGAACATGAAACGTTACGGTGCTGCGACCCCGGGAATGTACGCTCTCCATCGTTCAAGGACGGAACTCGAGGATCAAAGAAGGGCTTCTTCGCCGTGGCCACCACTGAGCTATATCTCGATAACCGGTTATGCTTTCACCGTCTTCTTCGCTGCTCATGTCTTTGTCAATCGTGCTCTGCCCTTACAGGTTGAGGGTGACAGCTCCAATATCAGTCTCGCCTACGTCGCACATGCTTTTGCTCGACATCCTATTACTTCTTGGGTTTCTTACGTCGGTCTTCTTGCCGCTGGTTGCGGACATATGATCTGGGGTCAGGCCAAGTGGTTTGGTCTATCGCCTACAACAAAATACATCTGGGGTACAAGTACCGTGCCCGCAGAGAAGAGAGCCAGGAAGCAAAGGAGAAGGAGATGGGTCGCTCTCCACGGAGCATCAGTGACATTTGCCGCTCTCTGGGCAGTTGGAGGCCTAGGAGTTGTTGCGAGGGGAGGTCTCATGGAAGGCTGGATTGGAAAGGTGTATGATGATATCTTTGCAGCGGTGGGGTTGTAAGGCATGATTGATCTAGCATCATTGGAGTTTGGGTTCGTTTACATGAGAGATGTTGAACTCCTCTCTTTACAAGCATTATGGAAATACCCTACGTCTATACGTTTGGAAATGAAGTAGATACGCATGAATGCATCAGCAATATAAGCCAATATGATGATCAACTAGCATGTTGATGTGCACGATGTGAAGTCGGTGCTTTTCACAGCAACGAATGTTCCACCATTATGCGATGGCTTTTACTTGTGAACCACGAAGTGTTTAGCTGCGCATTTGATTGACGTGAGCAATATCACATAAGCCATCCCTGGATCCGTATCGCAATCATATATTGATGAGTGAAGTAATTTGGTGCTAAACTCCGAAATTCCTTGAACACTGACTTGTACAGGGTAAGCTCAACACGACCAAGCTCCGGTCAACCGCCGACCGTCGATCGCCACCGACATTTTATTTCTTTATCCTACCAACCTCAAAGCTTCGCCAACATCTCTCTAATCCCCCATTTTCTTTCTCCTCTAGGCTCTATATAGCTGTCCGCAGGTTCGTCCTGCGCAGCGCACTCGATCCGCCAAAAATGCCGAAACGTAAGCTCCCTCCGACCGAAGAACCCTCCGAACCACAAGAAGTATCTCAACCTCGGCCTTCAAAACGTTTACGTTTCGCAAACGCGGCATATAACCCACTTTCTCGCGATATTTTCACCACGATATCCTCCGAACTTCTACTGCGAATATTATCCTTCCTCTCGTCGTCAGAGCTACTCGACATCTCCCCCACTTCACAGCGTCTTTACCGCCTTGCTTCGGATCCTCATCTCTGGCGCGAACATTACTACGAGCGCTTTGTTCTACCGCGCGCTCTACGTATACCTGGATTTCGACTCGGTGGAGCTGGAGGCACGAAGTTACAATATTCTTCGCGACGAGCTGTGTGGGCAGATGGACGGAAGGGAAGAGCGCCGGAGGATGAGGTTCTAAGGGAGACTAGTAAGACCGAGAGTGTCGACTGGAAGAGACAGTATAAGCTACGTCACAACTGGGCTAGAGGAAAATGCGCCGTGGAGGAGGTCAGCGTGCGAGATGCGACGGATGAGAATGGAGGACAAAAGAGGACGTTGGTCAAGGTCGTGGAGGGTATTGCTATAACGGCTGATTCGGAAGCTGGACTGCGCGTATGGGATCTTCGAACACGACGACCGATTGCGCAGATCGACTTACACGAGGAAGACGAAAGCGACGATAATGCGCCGACATCACTTGCGGTGGACGAAAGCGGTTCTGGAACAGTGGTGGATATCGTGGTGGGATTCGCAGACGGCGGTTTCGGACTCTGGCGGTTGAACCTCGAGCGACAAGAATTAATACGGAGATATCGGCATGAGAAGAGTTGCAACGGGGAACTTGTCGCTGTCGCTTGTGGATATCCTTATGTCCTAACAGCGACGACAGCAGGCTTAATATCGCTCTATACATTCAACCGCCCAGCTAACAAAGCCTCGGATGACTCTGCGAATGGTGTCAATGATGAACCGCCATCAGAAGCGACAGAGAAACCAGCGAGCGCGATCCTACCGCCTCCATACCTCCTCACATCGCTCAAGTCGCACACTACCCACTTACCACTCGCTCTATCGATACGGCGCATGTCGTCCTCCGTGAGCGCCTCTATCGCCTACACCTTCTCCGTCCGTGACGGCTGGTGCATCGGCGTTCAGGACTTACTGATAACGCCGTCACCCGATGGCTCCGGCGTCGACACACTATCCTCTCGCCTCGCATCGACGCTCCCCATTACAGCCTCTGGCGGCGCTGAGTCTCCTCTAACCAATGAGTCACGATCAGAGCTTACGACCCTTTGCTACAGCCACCCGTATCTCCTCGCCACACTGCCCGACAACACTCTCGTCCTATACCTCTGCACCTCAACCGCGACATCCCTATCACTGTCCCCGGGTATCCGCCTTTGGGGCCACACATCAGGCATCTCAGATGCGGAGATCACACCGCGGGGTAAAGCCGTGAGCATTAGCACGCGAGGAGACGAGATCCGCGTATGGGAGCTGGAGGGCCGCGTCGGAGGCAGCAGCATCGAGGTACGACCTACGAGCAGGCAGCCAACCGATGACGCAGACAGCCCTACATCCGCGCCAAGGGCTGAGTGGGAGGACCGCAGGAATTGGGTTGGCTTCGATGATGAGATGGTCATCGTTCTCAAAGAGGCACGAGACGGTCGCGAGAGCCTGATGGTCTACGACTTTACG